GCCTGGGGCCGCTCCGTGAGGCTGCACCCCTATGGCACTGCCCCCCCCCATCCTGGGGCCTCACCCCGACGGTTCCCACCCCCTTCCCCAGTACTGGGGCCTCACCCCGATGGCACCCTCCCCCCACCACACCACACCCCACACCCATCCTGGGGCCGCTCCCAGACGGCTGCACCCCCCGCCCCTCCCCTCGCTCGGTGGCACAGGCACAGACACACCTCAGGCACACCCCGCTCCAGCACCGTGGTTTATGGGGCACCCATCACTTCGCCTCCTTCGCAGGCGCTGACTTCTTCAGCTGCACCTCCTGGGACCCACGAGGCTTCATGAGAACAGAAAGCGTGTTTCATTCTACCCGACCCTCGGGGCCTCAGAAAACTGCTTTCTCCTCCGTCTCAGTAGAAACTCTCAAAAGTTCCCTTTTCCACTTCGGGTGACCTACACCCGTTAGGATCCACCTCAACTCCCTCAGGCACGCACACACCCCTCAAGTGTGCGGGAGGTTCACACTGGCGCCTCTGCTTCCAACCCTGGGAAGGTCAAAATAAAAGCAGGCCTGCCCTTTTGGAATGAGGCCAGAGGGATCATGGATTCTCTTCTGGTTCTTACAGCAATAGGACCAAACATAAATGATCATCTCTACAGATTATCTTGCCTTATTTATTAGAGTCCTTGGGGAAACAGAATGAATGAATTTTTTTCAACAAGAAAATTATAGGATAGTTCATCTAAGATGGTGATAAATAAACCGATTGCCAGAACTGATACAATATCATGAGTAACTGTTGCAAGAGGGTAAAATAAATGTCCTTCAGAGCTCTGACTTTATATGACAGTTCAACTTCACTTATCTTTAATTAAGTATAATTTTTGGATTCTGTGTAGCACTCATTCCATCACATCATTTCCTTCCACCCAACTGAGATCATGCAGACTTCTTGTGCCTCCTTCCTTTAATGTCTCTAAAGAATCTTATAAGCTGTGGGCCATGTTTACTAAATCTCCTGAGTATTTGACAAAACATTTTTAATATCCTTGCTTTATTCAAATCCTAATTAAGGATTTGCTATACTCACCATATTTATATTAAAAAATAACCCCAAAACTTAGCAGCCTAAAGCAACCATTTTACTTTGCTCACAAAGTTATGGGTCAATTAAACCTCAATTAACCTGAAATTTTAAAAAAATTATATATGTGTGTGTGTGTGTGTGTGTGTGTGTGTGTGTGTGTAAAAGTGCAACTGGGTGGTTCCCACGTGGAGTCCGTCATGTGAATATGGTGAGATGTTAGCTGGGGCTGGAATCACTCAAGATGACTGTCCCACGCGGCCAACAGCCACACCCAGCTGTCTGCCCAGAGCTCACCTGGCGTTGCCCAGGGCACCCCGCGCGGCCCCCGGGTCTGGCAGTCTCACAGGCTCTGACTTCTCAGTCGCGGCTCAAGTCTTGCCACAAGCAGTGAGGACAGTGTGGCTTGTTCTTGCCTAGTCTGAGAAGCCATAGGCCATTGCTGCAGCCACAAGGTGTCATTACAATCCAGGCACTAGGGTCACCCGGAGAAGACACACACCCTGCCCCTTGATGGGAGGTCAAGTTTGCCAGGTGAGAGTACCTTACGAGATGACACACTGCTCTGGTCACCCTTGGGAAACACAATTTCTTATGGACTCGAGGCAACGGACAGTCTTAGTATACACACCGAAGGCGCTAGGAACCCGGCTTACATCTCGGGTCCGAAAGTAGTCTTCCACCTGGATCCTCTTCCCATTAATTCCAGTAACACCAAATTTTCTTACTGATGGCTCTTGCAACCTGTCACCTTGCTACATGCTTTGAAGGGAAAGACCTGGTAGCTCTAATATAAGAACTTGATTTTCATCAGAGCATGGGCTCTGATGAAGGAAGAGAACTGACCTCTCTCTAAAAGAATGGTTCTTGGGGTGCCTGGGTGGCTCCGTCAGCAAAGTGTCTGCCTTGGGCTTGGGTCACAGTCCTCGGGCCCTGGGACTGAGCTCCCAGCTTGGTGGGGAGTCTGCTTCTCCCTCTGCCACTCGCTCTCTCTCTCAAATAAATAAATAAAATCTTTAAAAATAAATAAAGGAATGGTTCTTATGATTGCCATTTGGGATTTATCAGGGTTCTCCTATACGAATCTCCTCGACGACTAGATAAGTTTGCTACTTTCTGAGGCGACAGTGATTTCCTTGAATTGCAGTCACCTGTTCCACACTGGCTTTCTCATCATCTGAAATTCCCAGGAACCTCAACATACAGTTGTAAAGGTAAGACTCTTTTCATTTATATCTAAACTTACTCAGCCATAGCTCAGAAATCTCATCCTAACTTGATGAAAAGAATACTCAACACACAACAGAGACCATGATTGTTTTCTCCTTGCATAAAATTAGTCACCAGATAGGCATTTTTTTATTCAAATCTTTCCAAATAACTTTGCCTTGCTTAGATACCCAAGAGCTACACAAATAAGCTTACACAGGTTACTGATGAAATCTGAAAATGTGTATCCACTAATATATAACTATATGATCAAACCTCCAAAATTTTTACTGTTTCAGTTTTTACAGAACACTTGAAATGCCATCTCAATAATACCTTAACAAATCCTGTGATTTTGGAAGGATGAATTATTACTGCCTCCCTGAGATGACTCAAAAAGTCCTTCCATCCAGTGTCTCCTTTATACCTGTTACAACAGTCGTGAACTAGGGGTGTGAAGTGTGGGGAGGGAGGTGAGCTTTTACAAGGTTGGTTGGGCGAGGAGTTTGAACTTCTCTTAAAGGTATGGGATGCCAAGACAGGACTGAGATCATGGAAGAGCATTCTAGAAAGATCATTCTAGTAGCAATGTGTAGGGTGGGTTAAAGAAGGATGGGGGCAGAGCTGATGCGGGGAGAGTACACGCAAAAGCTGGTAAGCACTTGGGCGAAGGAACAGGCATTGAGAACAGTGAAGGGATGGATTCAGAAGTAAGAAACCAAAGGCCCTGAGACAAAGTGAACATACAGAGTGGGAGAAAAATCCAGACTATCTGAGAGCCTTGGAAATTGCATGGAATATGCTGCACAGTAAATACAGCTGACCCTTGAGCAATGTGAGTTTGATCTGTGCAGGTCCATCTACACTGGAAATCTTTTTTTTTTTATAAACACAGTACTGAAAATGATTTTAATAACATTCTCTTTCCTCTAGCTTACTTTAAGAATGCAGTATGTAACATAGAAAATATGTGTTAGTCGACTATGTTATTGGTAAGGGTTCTGGTCAACAGTAAGCTATATTATCTATATTATGCTCTAGTTGCTCCATCATTAAAATGTATATTTTAAAATGTATATTCTTTCTTAATTAAAATGTAGCTCAAAATTCCTAAACAGTATCCCTTCTAATAACATGTGAGTTTTCAAAAAAATTCTGTAAAACATTATTTTATAAGAATTGAGACACTAGGGGATCCCTGGGTGGCTCAGCGGTTTGGCGCCTGCCTTTGGCCCAGGGCGCAATCCTGGAGTCCCAGGATCGAGTCCCATGTCGGGCTCCCTGCATGGAGCCTGCTTGCAATTCTATTCCACAAATAAAGAACTTTTAAAGATCTAGACAATGATGAAATATACTTAACTACAAAATTCATGTAATATCAATAAAACATATAATTTCATATTTAATATTTTAAAGTTAATCAAGATATTTTAGACTCTTGAAGATTGTTATGCATAGAATTTCAAAAGTCAGGTGTTTTTTTTCAAAAGTCAGTTATTATATTGTGGTTGTTTGAAAATGTAACTACATAATTAAATGCTCTTCTATTAAACTGAATACTAAATAATACATTTTATTATACCAAAATCAAAGAATGCAAATAAGGCAAATGCAGAATGATTTATTGTGCCACCAATTATAATTTAATAAAATACACAAATAACATATTGAATATGTATTTCCTAACTCTACATTGAAATAGCAGCATAAAATAATAAGAAATTAACTATTCCTAAACTCCTAAACAGAGAACTTTTTGCAAACACATATGAATATTTATATTAAGAGGATGGAGGCTTATTTAAGAGTATGCTGTGACATCAACATGTTAACTCCCAGAAGAATCTTCCCTTTTTTCACAGTATGACAGCCTATACATTTTCTGATTATATTCACAAGAAAATAGGACCTAACAACATAAGAACAGATTTGTTATGAATAAATAAAAACTTATCAATGAAAAATAGTACATACCTATCGAGCACCCACAGAATTAAGTCATTTCAATATGAGTACAATTTGTAAGCTTAAAATGACTATCACTGGATAATTTTTTCCAAGAAAAAGAATGTGATCCAAAAATGGTATTACAGATTTATTTCTGCCAAAATGTCCAGCATATTGTTTTAATTACCATATCCTAATTGGAAAAAAAAACTCCAAGCAATAAAGAATTTAGCTAGCAAAAATAGCACTACAGTGTTCGTAGCATGTTCTTTCTGATACTTTAATAGTGAGTTTTAGTATCTCCTCAAATCTTGAAAAAGTACTACTTTGAATTTATTGTGTTCACACATATCCTATGTCTGATGTTGCTAATGGTATTGATGAATAAAATTATATGCCAAAGTCACATTCTACAAAGTATATATTTTCATTTTTTAACAATTTATTTTGCTCAACGCCATTCCTTTCTAATTTATGTTATCTTAATATATAACATTTAAAATTATGAACTTGGAAACAACTCTGGAAAGTTATCTTTTCTCCATATTTCCAAGGAGAAGTGAGGAGAAGTGAAGAATTTAGAAAGGATGATTACATCTAACCACTAAATAATATCTGTTTAGAAGGAAATGTTTTAGTTACTTAGTATAACAAAAAGAGATGTTTAGAATAACATATGTTCATTTTAGGAAACAAACCTTTTACATTTTATTAAGAATTAGTAAATTATTCCTTAGTCCATACATGTGATAAAGCACTTTTTGAGATCTCTATTTAAAAATGTAAGAAAAAAATAAAAATAAAAATAAAAATGTAAGAAAATATTTCCCCTCACATTTCATATCATTTCTAGCTAAACAGTAATTCTGTGTAGGTAATAAGGACTGCAGTTAAAAATAGAATAAAAGAACAAACAGAGCTGATCACTTGAAAAATTACATTGTGCTCTATTGGACAAACAACAGCACATGATTTAGGAGAATCTACAAGACAAGTCAGTGTCTAAGTAGCATTTTAGGTGTAAGCCTCCATCATCCTAAATATTTATATTACAGAAAACATCTACACTGCATGGAAAATTGCTCTTGCATGTCCTTTAATTCCTCTAACATTTTCATGTGTTTGAAACAAGCTGAACTATTGGAAGTCTTACAGGTTTTGGGCCCAATTCCAGTTCATTAAATTGAGAATGGTGGCAATCCTATTTTGGGGGAATGGGTAGCAAGAAAACAATGGACAAGTGACTTGCTTACTTTATAGGAGCTTTAATATAGTTTAATACAGATGTAACTTTCCTACAAAGGCTAATTTTAAAAATGACCTTTAAAATATATTCAAGATAAATTATAAATCCTCAAGATAGAGCTTTACAAACTTAGACAGGAAGCACTCAGACATGCACCTGCACATACACATTCCCCCTTCTTCATCTCTCTGATTTCTCTTTCCAGACTCAACCTTTTTGAGAAAAAAAAAAAAAAAAACAAACGAAAAAAGAAGTCCTAGAAAAATATATTCCAGGGTTTGACCTTATTTTACATTCAATTCATCTCTCCTTTAAAATGCTTAGTGCTGGGATCCCTGGGTGGCGCAGCGGTTTGGCGCCTGCCTTTTGCCCAGAGCGCGATCCTGGAGACCTGGGATCAAATCCCACGTCGGGCTCCCGGTGCATGGAGCCCACTTCTCCCTCTGCCTGTGTCTCTGCCTCTCTCTCTGTGTGTGTGACTATCATAAATAAATAAAAAAATTAAAAAAAATAAAATAAAATGCTTAGTGCTGAAGACACACTCATTTTGAAAAAACTAAATCCCCCACGGAATACGTACGATATTAACAAAATCTTCATCATTTACTATCCCTATACTTAGACCTTCATAGTAATCCTCAAATTCACCATAGGACACTTCATCAGACTTGCTGCAGGCACCTTTTAATGTTTCTAGGAAAGATAATTTGATTTCTTCCTCTGTGGAATGGCCTGTAAGATAGTACTGACTGTGAAACAATCTCCTTAAAATACCAGTAAAATGACTGATGACAATAAAGAAATACTAAATCACCTTATGGAATCTTTTCAACCATTTCAAATCTTATGTCAAACTATCCTCTAATTTATTTAAACATTTTCTTGCATTAATCAGAATTTAATGGTGATGACTTTTACACACATTTGAGGCATCTTTTAAGCTTCTGACCAAATGTGTCCTATACATATAAGCAAAACAACAGTCACTACTGTAGATATTCTTATATTTCTTAATGTTTTAGAGGACTCGGCTTTATTCCCATTAGAAATGAGGAAAGAAGAAAACAAATAGTTTCAAATATTTATAGGCTATTAACGCAGTAATGTAATGTGTGAAAAAACATCCCTATCTACATTCAGGCATTACTTATTTTATGGATCAAGTTACTCATAACTGCAGCTAGAAAATATTACTGTGAACAGGATTCAGAGGCCTATGAAAATCTTTGCCAGAAGAATTGTCACTGGATTAAATCATTCTATTTTAATCTGTAACATTAAGTAGGCTATTTTTACTAGGTTATACTAAATATGATTAATTTCATTCTATAAGAAGATGCTCCTGAGAGTCACATATGTAAAAAATAACTATAATTCTTCAGTTCATTATTTAAAGAGAGAACATGACTACTAAGCAAACTAAGTCAGAGAAAGACAAACACCCTATGACTTCATTCATTATGTGGAATTTAAGAAACAAAACAGATGAATGTAGGGGAAGGAAAAGAAAAGTAAAATAAGATGAAAACAGAGAGGGAGGCAACCCATAAGAGACTCAAAATGAGGGTTTCTTGGAGGGAAGTGGGGGGTGACTGGGTGACCAGCTGAAGGAGCCACGTGATGGCGCCTTGGGTGTTGTACGCAACTCAGGAGTCAGTGATCTGTCCTGAAACTAATGCTATATGTTAACCAACTTCAATTTCAATTAAGTAAGTAAATAAATAATAAATGAAATCTAAGAAAACCATTCCTTTGACAATGATTCCTAACCCTGCGTATCCCTGAGATGACGGACGCTGCAGTCTCCATCCACGGATTGGGACTGAAAACCACTCCTAAAAAGAATACTCTGCAGAGTTTAATTTAGGAGAAGCAGGTCGATTTTAGTAAATCAGGAAAAATATATTAAACCTGGAAATTTTAGCACCATGGTGCTTCGTTAAAAAGCTTTTGTTGATAAAAATTAATTAATTAATTAATTAATTAATTAATTAATCAATAATAAATAAATAATAAATAAATAAACCTGGAATGTTTATTTCCCTAGAATTTCCCTCTCACAGCTGCTTAAATTTAATTAAAATACTATAAAGTTATAAAAAAGAAAGAGGGAACATAAAATATCTGATTCAGTCTTTTAATTCATTTGATTTTTTTTAAGATTTTTATTTGACAGAGAGAGAGAGCGTGCATAAGCAGGGGGAGGGAGAGAAGCAGGGGAGCCGGAGCCTGATGTGGGTCCCTCCCAGGACCCCGGGATAGTGACTCAATCGAAAGCAGATGCCTAACTGACTGAGTCACCCAGGGGCCCCCTCATTTGATTTTTTTTTTTAATTCAGAAAGAGAACAATAAGCTATTTAGGTAGCTTGGATTATATTTGATCAGTTAAAGGGAAGGAACAATCTTGGGTGCTACCCTCCTCACACAGATCTACTCCCAGGATCCTAGCGCAGAACAGGAAAAGACTCTCATTAAGTTTTTGTTAAAAGGAATTAAAAGATGAAAGGAAGCTACAGAATATGATAGATGATACTCAAAGAAAGTAGAGACACATATATAAAGGCAAAAGAGGGTAAGAAAAATGTAAATGACCCTCTAAATCATTTTGAAGTCATGTTACATTTTGAAATAACAAACTTAAATTGGGAATACCACCCTAATAGTCTAATGGGATGGGCAAAAACAGGATAAGAGTTGGATCTTTTCTAAAAACCGGAGGTTCTCTCCTGGACTTAGGTTATAACTCATTGTACGGGGATCCCTGGGGGCTCAGCGGGTGAGCACCTGCCTTCGGCCCAGGGCGTGACCCCAGGGTCCCGGGATTGAGTCCCGCATCAGGCTCCCTGCGTGGGGCCTGCTTCTCCCTCTGCCTGTGTCTCTCATGAATAAATAAAATCTTAAAAAAAAAAAAAACTCATTGTAAAGTGCCTTTCAAAGTAAAAAACGCTTCAGACAACAAGATGTTTGCTGTCTTTTAAAACATGCATGCAAAAATAGAGAATAAGTGATGATTCTATTTATAAAAAAAAGACTGAATAAACAAGGACTGACTACTTACGTTCTGCAGAAATAGTAATATAGAACAATAGAGTAGATTTGTTATTGAGTGTTAGTCAAGGATTAAAATTAATCAAGATCTGATCTATATAAAAATATAGACCCGTTGGCAGAAGAGATCTCCTCCTCTCTTTACCATCCATACTTTTGAACAAATGAGTTTTAACACTATTTTTGTAATGAAAACATTTTTAATTTAAATTTGTTTCAAATGCTCAAGAATTTTAGACCTCCTCTGTATCCCCACCCAAGAAATACGTATCTTTTACCATTTGTAACTAACCTTTCTTTCTCTCCTCTTAGATACCATGAAGTGTTTAATAAACAATGTTAAATTTCTAATATCTTTACACAGAAATACATTTGAGATATCTCATTCCTATTAAAGCTGAAAATACTTTTTTAATAAATTAAGCAAAGTAAAAAGAAAGTATTTCCTACAGTTAAATTCTACAACAAAAGCCTTAATTTGAAATTAATTGTAAATAATCTAGGGACACCTAGGTGGTTTAGTCAATTGAGCATCCAAGTCTAGATTTCAGGTCAGGTCACAGGCTCAGGGTCGTAAGATCAAGCCCTGCATTGGGCTCTGTGCTCGGTGGGAAGTCTGCTTCTCTCCCTCTCTCCCTCCCTCTCCATCGGCCCCACCCCCTGCTCACATACACACTCTCTCTCCTTCTCAAATAAATAAACAAATAAATCTTTTTAAAAAATTATAAATAATCTATATTCCAGAGGTGAGTATGTGAATAGATTATAACTTGTAATGATATATAATAATAATTTTTAAATTTTAAAAAACTGTAATTGGTGTTCCTCTTTTCAGAGTGTTTATGTCTGCTAGCTTCTCTTCCTTAATGTGAATGTGAAGATGAGGTATGGAATTTCTCAAGCTAACGAAGGCTTCTCCAACAAGAACAAAACCCTCACCAACAATTCAATGACATCTAGCAAAACTAAAGCTACTTTAGCAATTTAATTAAGATTATTAGAGTGGGGAAAAAAAAGGTTAAAGAGAAGAACAACATAGGGGTGTTGAAATCACCTATATTTAGCAAGACTAGAATGACATAGGTTTAAAGGAAAAGATACGCTAAATCCAATTAAATAATGCTAGAAATTTTCTTATGGCAACTGCAGTGGCAACTGAAGACACTTTAAATGTCTTCATTTAAAGACACTGATAAGCAAATTATTCAGACCTGAAATAGATTATTAGAAATTAGGAAGCCAGTGATGATTAGCTTTAACCTTCATAACAAACTGTTAGTTTTTTCACTTCATAATTAAAAGTAATAAATAAACCACTTATAAGGGTTAATGATGATAATAAACTGAAGTAATTATAGTATATCTTCTTTTAATAATAAAAATATTAAAGGAAAATTCTAGAACAATAGCATTCTATAATATTTAACAGTATATGATTAAAATCATAAATTAGAAAAACTTCAAAAAATATAAATTAAAAATGTTCAAAAAATATACAAACATATGTTTAACCTTCCAAATAACCAGGGAAATGCAAATAATCATTCTTTATAGTCTGCTGGATTGGCAATATTCTATGGTGTTGGCATGATAGAGAAATAAATTCTCCAACTAATGGCAATATAATCTGGCTTAGTCATTTTACAATGCAATTTGGAAGTATCAATTAAAATTCAAAACGTAGATATTGTAGGTATTGAAACTACCCCTCCTGCATAGGAAACAGCAGACAATGAGCTTAAGGAGTCACAAATAAGCATGTTCATTGCTTCACTGCTTAGAAATTAAAAGTCTGCCAGTAGGAGACTAGTTAGGTAAACTGCAGTTTTGTATTGATTTTTAAAAAGAATAAAAAAAAATAAAAAAATAAAATAAATAAAAATAAAAAGAATAAACGTAGCAGATAAAAATAAGGTCACTCATTGTGGATTATTAATATGGTAAGAGCTCCAAAACATATTTTTGAGTGTAAAAAGTAAACTACATAGCAGTGTGTTCTTTGTACCTGTCATGTTAGAAGAAAAAAAAAAACACACTTCAAGAAGTAGTAGATATTTATAGTACAGACACAACTATGAAAATTCATAGAGTAAGGACTGAAATGGTTAAATGATAATGTCTGCTACCTCTATGAAGGAAAGGGTAATGAAAAGAGGAGAGTTACCATGGCCAAGTGCTTTCCTTATACTGAAAATTTATAAATCAATTACATAAAAATTAAATTCAGAAGAAATATAGTAGGGAATGAATCCCTAAAATCACAGCTCTTCCCTGACTCGTGACAAAGTTACGTCTGATAAACCCATTGTACACTGAAACTGTGCTGAGCCGAACATCATTTGCTCGCCTCGCTACTGACCACCAGCCTACCCTATCGGTGCTCAGGACACTTGCAATCGCCTACACTTGGGCAGAGCACCTGATGCAAAGCCGAGCTCCTAACACAGTGCTGACTACCTCACGTAAGTTTTGGAATACTTGCACTGAAAGTGAAAAACAGAACGGCCACATGGGTAACTCAGAGAACTTGCACGTGTAATCGTCCATCCTCTAAATCTACTCTGTTCTAACTCAAATTCCTCATAATCTCCTCTGTACAAAATAAAAGTTCCATCTCATTTTATAAACATCAAAGAAAAAAAAATAAACACAGACAATAGACCTAGGAATTTTTAAATAAAGGAGATCAAATGGCTCTTATGTTTCTGGTTTTAAAAATAATTGTTTATTTCCTCCCTTAATGGCCTCAGGTCCACACTGTAAGTTAATATGATTTAAGGATATTACTTTTATTAATGACATTTTAGAAATCTAATGCATTTTGGCTCCTGATAATTACCTGAAATGACTTGAGGATGCTTCTTTGCACAGTAACATTTTCTTATGTCTGTAAGAGGAACACAGCCAGTTTTGTTGAAATCCAGTTTCATGAAGGCCTGAAGAGAGAAATGTTATTTTTTTTCTGTGAAATTATTAAACATGAGAACCTAATTCTCTATTCTGTAGGAAGTTCTTTTTGAGCCAGTTTAAAAGTACTAAACTCGGGGCCCCTGCGGAGCTCAGTCAGGAAGGCATCTACCTTCTGCTCAGGTCACGATCTCTGGGTCCTGGGATCGAGACCTGCATGGGGGCCCCCTGCCCAGTGGGGAGCCCAGCCCGCTTCTCCCTCTCCCTCTCTGTTCTCTCTTTCTTTCTCTCTTTCAAATAAATAAATAAATAAAATCTTCCAAAAAACAAAACAACAACAACAACAAAAAAAAAACCCCACAGTACTCTGCCATATATAAACTGATATATGAAGGGAACATCATGAATACAGGAAGATACTAGAGCAAAATGTTGGGCAATCTGCACCACACTTATTCTGCACTTTCTGGTCCCGTGATCTTGACAGGGTAACCTGACTTCTGGTGCTGAAGACTTGGCCAAAAGACCTTCTGGTAACTTCCAGCACTAGGAGTTATAGGAAACTGATAAATGGCCAAGACAAACTACCAGGACTGTTTTGACTCAAAAAGTGAACATGCAAATACTCATAACTAAAATCAGTGAGAAAGTACAATATTTTTTAAGTGACTTGACTCTATTTCCTTAAACTTAGCACTACTTTCTATATGCCAGTTGTTTTACTGCTCCTCTTACTCAATGCAATTTTTAGTATCATAAAATAAAAAATATTTTATGGGGAAGGGGAAGAGGAATGGGGCATATAGAAACACACAGCCACCCCAAAGCCACAGCTCCACTCACAGAAGAGTCAAAACTACAATCAAGTTTGTTAATTCACAGTGTGTTCACAGAAATATGGTACCTGATATGGGCTGAACCCCCATCATACGCTGAAACCCTAACCCCTGCCCCTCCCCCACCTCAGAATGTGACTGTTATTTGGAGATGGGGGTAATGAGGTTAACATGGAATCACTAGGGTAGACTCCAATCCAGTGTGACTGGTCTATAAGGACAGGAGACGGGGACACAGACAACCAGACAGGGATGACCACGTGAGCACAGAGGGAAAGGCGGCCAGTCACAGGCCAAGGGGAAATGCCTCAGGAAACAGCAGACCTGCCGACATCTTGGCCTTGGCCTTCTAGCCTCCAGGACTGTGAGGCGATAAATTTCTGTTATTTAAATCAGCCAGTCTGCAGAATTTGCTAGGGCAGCCCTGGGAACAGTACTCTGTAACTCTACTTCGGCCCCTAGTCCCAGTACCAAGATTCATGAAGGAGATAACCCTCCAGCTTCTACTTCGGAAACTCAAATCTGTCACCAGGACACCTGAAGTACAAATAAATTCAAATTTATAAATTATTATGTGGTGAATTCATTCAACATAAAGTTTTTATTGCATCTTTTGGCCAGGAAAGATAAAAAATTTGATGTTTTCTATTTGAGATTTATACCTCATGTAGTGGTTTATACTTTTCATGCACAAAAGCTTTGCCTCAGTATTAGATACATCTACATCTTATATCAGGTGCACGTCCAAAAAAGAAGGAAACTACGTTGCTCAAAAGTATGCTCTGAAAATGGCCCTCAGAACCTGAGTAATATGTACTTTCCTATAAAAATCGAGGCTCCTGGGGGCACCTGGGTGGCTCAGTCGGTTAAGCCTCAACCCTTGATTTGGGTTCGGGTTATGATCTGGGGGTGAGAAGGAGCCGGTGTTGGGCTCCCACTGGGGGTGGAGCCTGTGTGGGATCCTCTCTCATCCTCAGCCCGCCCTGCCTCTTGAGCACACACTCTCTCTCTCACCCTCCAAAATAAATAAATTCATGAATGTTTAGAAAAAAAAAATCAGGGGTCCTGTTTTTCATTCTAATCTAATAAGGTCATTTTAATCGTCATTTGAACGGCTCGCTAACATGCATATTATAAAACCCAGAGAAACAGCTCTTAGTCATGGTCCTAAGATTGAGCCTCAACCCTGGAACAGCCATAATGTTAAGTATTTTACCTGTTGAATCCTTGTACCAACTCTATGAGACAAGAAACTAAGATCAGAGATATTTAATAATAAATAGTCATATAACTGGTCATTTATGGAGCCAGCAATTTATGGAACTAGTCACCTGTGAACCCAAAATTTGATTTCAGATTTTATTTTCCTTTTAAAATCTGCTTCTAAAACACACCCTCAAATTATTTTGCTTTGTCCTGGAAGATCTGTACATGTACGTGTTTGCCTCCGTTTACTAAACCCAAAAGACATTACGGCTAAAAGGACTGAAGACATGTGCAAAGGTAATTCAATACAGTTTTGAAATGGTGAGCCCGACACTCTTAAAGGCGACTTTCAAAGATCACTTGACGAAATTACCTTCCGGACAAACGATTTCCTGTACTCATTCATTTCCCCAATGACGGCACGTGTGAACTCTCCGTAGTCGGCCTTGCCACCCGCATTGCCCTCCAGAACTTGCCACGCAGACTCCAGGGCCTAGAAGCGTTCAGAGAGCAGATTCGGTGCACGGTAGGCAGCACCACAACTGAACTCCTCTCGACAGTGTTTTGTTACTACTTTTGTAGCCCCAACCGGGTGGCAGACTCAAGGCAATTCCAAAAACTTGCATGTAAACAAAGGTGCTAAGAGAGCTACTTGCAGGAACCCCGTGGTGGTGACAGTGCCCTACAGTTAAGGGTCACGTAGGAGGGGCAGTTTCACAAATTCGTATTTTAAGTTTGATTCCTTTCTATACAAAAATGCTTACCACCTATCGAATTTGAACATGGAATTATCTCTGAGTATTAAACATATGGCAACAACAAAGTCCCTCGGGTTCCGCGAGGCTTCCTAACAGCCCGCCTGCTGGCCCTCACGTTTGACGGCTCAGGACGTCAGAACAGCTCCAACATCATTCCACAGTTCACACCCAAAGGTGTTATTTTGAGTAAATCCTCATGCCAGTTTGTTCCTTGCACCATTGTCACTTACTTCTTTGCAAATGCATAATTTCATAGAATGTTCTACTCATAAAGTTCCTAATAACAAAAAGAATCACAGCATGGGGTTTTCTTCTACTCCGGTAAATCAATATATTTTCAGTGTTTCAGTCAGGCTGCTAGCTTTCAATGAGAATGTAAATAAGATAGCTAGCAAGGTGCTGACAAACGATGGGTACAAATAAAAGTTCTCTGCTCCTACCTCCTATTTTCAGTGACCCCTAATTTGTCTGTTACAATGCCCAGTACATGACTGACTCTAAAAGTCTGTAAAATTGCTCTTAAATTTAAAAATGAGCTTGACCTTTAAAATTATACATAATACGGATAAAAGATGAATTTGCATGCCCAGTTCATGGACTAGAATTAAAAGATACTGCTTGAAGCTTAAAATAAATAATTTTCAAAAATGGAATAATTTACCAAAAGTGGCAACAAATCCATGGAAGCTCTAAGATACAGTACAGAATGGAAAATAACTTAGTTGAAAAAAAAAACTGAGCTTAAATTTATTATAGTATCTCTAATAAATTAGGCTACTTAGGATGCATATCAATTTTTTACATTTCAGATCAGGGAAAAATGACTATGTCTTCCCCAAACTAGTTCCACAATTAGACCCAGATGGTGATTCTTGATTTCTTATTTTTGCTTATCATTGCAGGGTTCCTTAATGGTATTAAAGGGGCAAAAGGAGGGGATATTATTTTTTAAATAAGAAAAAGGGAAACTTATATTTTCCAAGTATATGTTAGAAGTCTTATATAATTATTTTAGTTTTTATTCCTGACTCCAGTGATAAAAATTTAGCAATCAACCAAGAAGAGAAGTACTACTGGTTGATGCAGAATGCCAGACTGGCCTAGAATATCTGGGTTCCAAGTGGAATTACCTGTGTGATTGTGGATGAAGACACCAAGGCGTTCTAATTTAATGCTGCTGTTTTCACTGTTACCATTATTTTATTATTCTTGAGAGGAAGAGTTAAAGTTAGATGATTTCTACTATGCTTCACTAGATGGGCCACAAAGTTAAATTTGGTAAAAAACACAAAAGAAGGAGCGCCTAGGTGGCTCCGTCAGTTGAGCCTCTGGCTCAGGTCATGATCCGGGGTCCCGGCCCCCTACTCCGTGGGGAGCCGGCTTCTCCCTCTGCTCTGCATCTCCCTGCTTGTGTTCTCTCTCTCTCTCTCTCTCTCTCTCTCTCAAATAATAAACACACACACACACACAACAGTGTGTCACAGTGATAAGCACATCAAACGGGCACAGGATTTTAGCTGGAAAGGTACATTCCTGCGTCATCTTCTCATCTGAGGTTCAAAGTAACTCTGGCCACAGGTATCATCTGTGGATTGCCCACGTAGAGCCTGGCAATCAGAAAAGGTAAAAGACCTATGGAAGACCACACACTTGAAGTAGTAAGTCTAGAGCTTGAATCTCATCTCCTAAGTTCAATTCCCAGTGTTCTTCCCACAGAATACACTAGGTCTTGTGACAAGACCATTTGAAGCAAGAGACTCTCTCATCTCATCTCATCCTTGAGGCAGATGTGTTCCAAATGTGCTTTTAGAATACAGCCCAACCTTCTTAGCACAGCACGCAAGGCTTCCAGGCAGCGGACCCTGCCAGGCTTACTTCCTCCGGGTCTTCTCTTTCCCCATCCCATCCCATGCATCCACCCACGTAAACTGACGCTGTTCATTCAGCACCTGCCCTATGCTAGGTTCCGTCCAAGGTGTTAGATACAGAGCAGGAAGCCAGAGCACCTTGGGCCCTGCCCTGATGGAGCTTACACTCTACTTGCCAGAAAAGCCAGAAAACCCTTGCAAAGTGGCATGAAGAAAATAAAATGGCAAATGGTATAGAGAGGACCAGGGATCATGTGCAGCATTGGACGCATCACTATAGAGCCCCAGCCAGGGAAAGCCTGCAGGATGGGAAATCCAGCCACTCAAAGGTCTAGTCAGAGGTTGCTCACAGCGTAAGGAACGGGATGTGTGGAAGCTCAGGGGCCGGGGGAGTGAGGCTGAGGTTCTGCAATTCCTAGAATAGGCAACACACGTCCTTGCCTTCGTGCCTTCACATGTGCTTCTCCTTTCATGTGAAGCATCACTGTGTGATCCATATTCCTCCTCTCGTCTCGTCTGTTTAACTCCTCCTCATCTTTCACAACTCAGCTGAGCCACAGCCTCCCCTGGGAATCCTCCTCTTCCCGGTAACCTGGCCTGGTTCTCTATTTAGCACATATGGTGTTTAAATTCTTCCTATCTTTCTTTTCCTTTGATTATAAAGACCTTAAGAGGACAGAGTGTGCCTTCTCAGAGCTTAGGGAAGTGCCTACGTACTAGGTTCTTAGTAGGTGTATGAGGGAGGAATGAATATTGGAATTTTAAAGTTAACAGTACTTGTTGCCTGGAGGCTAACACTGATTACGAGGCATAAAGAGACACATGGCGGCCCCTGGTGGCTCCATCGGTGAAGCATCCAAATCGAGATCTGGGCTCAGTTCATGATCTCAGGGTTGTGCAATCGAGCCCTGGGTGGGGTTCAGGGTCTGGGGTTCAGGGCTCAGCACAGAGTCTGCTTCTGTCTTCCTCTTCGTCTGCCCTGACTCAACTCATGCTATAAATAAATAAATAAATAAATAAATAAATAAATAAATAAATAAAATCCTCCCAAAACCGAGGAGACACACATGAACTACTGAAATCTCAGAAGGAAAGTAAGCAATGTCCTTCATCGCAGTACATACGTCTTCAGACACTTGCAAGTGAAACTCTTGCAGAGCTTGCTTGACAGCTGCCTTGTCCAAAAGTCCAGTTCCTTCCTTGTCCAATTGTTTAAGGTATTTTCCCAATCTGGTCAAAATACGAACACCCCTTTTGAGTAGCTGTTCTTTTAGCACATCTGTTTAGGAAGAAGAGAGAGCGAGAAACCAATTATTCCTATACACAAGGTACCACTTGTCTCTCTCTCTTTTTTTTTTTCCACTTGTCTCTTGTAGGAAAATTAAAGCTGATGTGAGTGGTGTAAGGGATGTGAATATGCACCCGGGGGGCATGTAGGACTGGCAAGACTCCAGGAGCCTGGAAGCTTTCAGAAGAGTGTTCAGTGTAAATACACTAGAATTATAGCACCACTGTGTGGTCAAAGTGTTATATGGAAAAGTAAGGGATCACTTCCTCAGCATGAAAATAATTTACGTGTCCCAAATAAAATCTTAGTTTTTACTTTCCAGGCTTCCTCTTCATCTAATGACCTCACACCTCGTTCCTCTTTGCCATAATTACAAAATTGATGCCAGGCAAGTCACTCAGAAATAACAAGCTCAAAGTCTCTAAAATAGCTTGGAATCTTCACATCGTAACCTCCATATGAACGACATCAAGGCTCTGGAGTGCTTTCTTCTACTTGCACACTTAAAGTAACGCTTTCTTCTAGGAATTTTTAGTTATATTCTCAAGCTTTTAGCATTCTCTTTGCAGGCCAGTGATCACATTTAATACAGTTTGCGCCATCTTTACTTAAGAAAACATAGTTCACTTTACAAAGCAGTTATTAAATTCATAAAGAACAGATGTCACGGATTCAACAGTGACAAATCCTGTGCTGCCCAGGACAGAACAGAGAAAATGGTTTCCTGACAATGACATCAGGAATCTCGGGGGAGTTCCATCACCAACCCCAGACAACTTTTAAATCTGTTGCTAGCCTTCTTACTACTCTCGTATCATTTTTAAGTGACAAATAGGATTTATTGAACTTCATAACTTATAGGTTGATTTCTGTGATTACTTGTCTAATGTCTTCTCCTTTACCAAAGGAGAATCACCAAAGGAACTGTCTATCTGAGCCTAGTATACTCCAGCGGTTACAAGACTGTACCCTACAAACAAAATCTGTAACGTCTTTTCATGTCCGAAGCCTGCACAGTTAATAAAACTGGTTATCCCCATTTTAGAGATGAAGAAAAAATTGTAAGAGGTTTACACAATATAATATGTCTACCAAATGGCAGAGTCCAAACACCAACCTGGCTCCCAGTCTAGCATTTTTCTTTTATGAGAGGCTGCCATAAATCTCTTTAGGATATCATCTCATGCATAAACAAGTATTATATTATAAAAATCACTTACATTTATTCATTTCATGGAGAAAACCCATACTATCTAGTGCTTTCTAATACTCTTAAATTCATAATTCATACAATACTAGTTACTCAGTTAAACAAGATCATTAAAATGGAAAAAATCCTAAAAATGTTTTTTTCAAATCTACCAACTTTATAAAAATATTTTTAAATATATAAATTCCTAAAAAGATAAGCAAATAAGAAATATAAACAAAGTGTCTTTGTTATAAAAACTAAAAACTATATCATTGCAATTAGAACTACTTGAGACTATAGTCACAATCCATACCTTGAACAGCCTCTAGGACAAGCCTATCATTGGCTTCTTGACTGGTTATATCATCTTCATGTTCCACAGAATCAGTTCTGCAATTGATATGTTCACAGCAGATAAAAATCTATTGTTTTGCGATCTTCAGTACAAAAACTTTACTAAGCTCTTCTCTGTTCCAGATTCAAAGAAACTCTCCGAATTGGAAGAGCGCTTAGAGATTTCTCAAGTCCCAGCTGGCTTGCTGCCATAATCCCCAGAAAGATTAAATATGCTAAATCGAGCTAAAATCCTTAAGCCTTCCTAGAAGTACCTTTAAACATTATATTCATTTGGTAGCTATATCGATGTTCTTTTAAAATAATTAAAATGATAAAATTTAAAAGCATTTCTAACTTTCAAAGTACAAAATGTAAAAACATTATTTTAAAAAGCCAAAAAATTGGGACGCCTGGGTGGCTCAGTGGTTGAGCGTCTGCCTTTGGCTCAGGGTGTGATCCCAGGGCCCCGGGATCAAGTCCTGCGTCAGGTTTCCTGCGTGGAGCCTGCTTCTGCCTGTGTCTCTGCTTCTCTCTCTCACTCTCCCCTGTCTCTCATGAATAAATAAAATCTTTAAAAATATATATATAAGTAAGTAAATAAATAAATAGCAAAAAAAACTGTATTCATTTGAACAATACAGTAAATGACAAAGAAACAGATGTCCTTTAGCTAATTCAGGGGATGTGGCTTCTAATGCACATACAGTATGCCAATTATTGTCATTTTGAAATGGATTCAGCACCAGGAAACGCTGGTATAAATAAATACATGTATATTTTGTTATTTAAAATATGTATTTTAATATATATTCTATGATCATATATATTTTATATTTTACTTATGTAACTTATACACAAATAATGTATATTGTTTATATATAATGCCATGAATGCTATGAATCAAAACTGTTTTTAAATGAATTTGGATTTTTTTAAATCACAGAATATATATATTATATACACAAATAATATAGATTGTAACTGACATGTTCATACATATATGTGATAACATATAATGTTTTATATAATATGTATTCTGTGATTAAAAAACTCAAATTCATTTAAAAGCACTTTTGATTCACAGCATTATTTCTTCATTATGCGTATCATTAATCATGTGAAACTCAAGACATTCTTTAAGTGCTAAAAAAAAGCATTACACTAAAAATGTGGGAAATGTTATAATACTGTACTGTAGCCTACCTTTTGTCTTTTTTATTTTTTTATTTTTAAAGATTTTATTTATTTGTTCATGAGAGACAAAAAGAGGCAGAGACACATGTAGAGGGAGAAGCAGGCTCCTGCTGGGAACCTGATGCAGGACTTGATTCCAGGACCCTGGGGTCATGCCCTGAGCCGAAGGCAGATGCTCAACCACTGAGCCCCCAGGCACCCCTACCTTTTAAAATTGACTGCTTGGTAGTATTTGGTAAAATATCTAATTATCTGCTATAACACAGACCAATTAATAAAGTATCTTTAACATAAAATGGGACATTTTTTATCTTTATATAACTATTCCCACACATAATGTGTATTTGAGTACAATACAGCACATAAAGTAGACACATATAGTTATGCTTTGTTTTTCAAAAATATAAACTCTAAAGTCAAAATCCTTTAGGATGGAATATCATCTTAAGATAATAAAAAATGGTGTTTTCACTTACTTTCAAAATGATACATGTATTTGACTTACTTGAGAGAATACAGAGCTATCTGATCAATATTAGTGATTCGAAGTATAAGTAATTTGTTTTCCTTTATGCTTTCTGGAAGTCTGGGATGATCAGAACTCAAAAATGTCAAGTTTCCACCCTAAAGAAATTAACAGATAAATTCCTTAAAGCTAGAAAGTATATAAGAAGTAAAATACAACTAATACTAATTTTAAATAATCAAGTCTGATTATATGTGACATGGTCTACTTTTATACTGATCTTTAAAAAGTGTATTTAGAGAATATTTAGAAACCACACAGGCTTCAGCTAATAATATTAGAAAATAAAGGAAATAATTTCCCAATCTCTCCAACCACTGAGTCACCCGGCTGTCCAGAACTATCTTAGATTTAACAATTGATATCAAGAAATAGGAACTCCAACTGTTTATAAGAGTCAAAGGAAGAAAGGACAAGTTATTTTAAATGAAATTATGACCTCCCTAAGCTCAGAAATAGAACTATTGATTCACAGAAAGATGTAGTGCACACTGCTGAGCTCTGATGGGTTCCTCATCCTCTCACCTGGTCTTTTGCCAACAAACATCAACTAAATGTGAAACTAACTATAACCTAACTGGAGCAGCAAGGCTTTGAAAAGATTCCTATCAAAAATCGCTAATCCAAACTTAGAAAATTGTTATTAATTCCTGAGTTGCTCAAATAAATATGGTCCAATATGGACAAACACAAATTTAAACTAGGGGCTTAATTTTCTATCTTGAAAATAAGGGGATAGATCTCTTTCCTCTCCTTTTTCCTGAAGCATTTACTTTAAAAAAAAAAAAAAAGTAACTGCGGGGCTTTCTCCGTTCTTTAAAATGTTTATCAGTTCTGTTGAAATGACCGCAGGATTCGATGAGAGCCTGGGCGAAAGGGGAGCGGGGTCCTGCCCAGCTCGTGCGCATCCACAGCAAGATGCTAGGAGCGAGGGATGGAGCCTGCAGGTGCGCCTCTCGGCCACGTCTATCGTGCAGGCACCTGTTTCTGGTGTCACCTCAGCAGCCTGCACTGAGGTTTCTTTCCGGGCGTGTCAGGGAAACGTCCTGGGGGGGGGGGGCACACCGAAGTAAAAGGTGAGTTCCAGAGTGACCCCTGGAAGGCAGACGAGACCTGCCCCCACTTCCACGAAGAAAGGAAAATAAGCCGAATATTTCTGCATAAAGAAACTGAAGATTGTGGCAAGAGCAAGAGATGGAGGACGTCAGAAGGTGGAGGGGAGGACCTAGACTGCGGGAATGTCTAAGGGACATATTTTTAAGAATAAGAATGTCTAATGACAAAGTAGAAGTCGCTCCCCCTGTTGCGGTGTACACTCCTGTCCACACTCCCTTCACAGGTGTGCTGCTCAAAGCTCCCACATGTGGTCTGCGTGGTTCCCCCTCTGTCCTTCGACCTTTCTCCCTTCATCCCTCCATTCCGCTCCCTCCACTCTTCCTTCCTTTCTCTTTCTCCTGTCTCCCCTCCACCCATTTCTCTCTGGGAAATCCCAAAAGGGAGCCGAGTTCGCATCGGGCTCAAGCAAAACAGGAGAGGGATGCGAAGAAGGAACCATCAACTGCAGTAGATTCTGGAGCAGGAGTTGAGAGCCGACCCTGACCCTCCTGCCGCAGGCTGTCAATGGGATCTGGGGCTGACCCCAGGACCCCGAGGGGCGGCCAGGTGGCCCGGGCACTTAACCCAGTTGAAGGCACGAGGGTCTTCCTCACCCAGCTCCCCCTGCAGCAGTCACACCTCCTACTGCCTCTGCCTCCTGGAGACTTGAAAAGTCGTTTCTAGTTAGCTTCGTAGCCCCGGCCACCCGGCCACCCGGCCACCGGCCACCCGGCCACCTGTGAGTCGAGGCTGCTCTAACCTCCTTCCTGCTTAACAGAATTAAGTCCAATCTGGTTCCTTCCACTAGCCGTCGAGGCCTCCCCATACTGTAACCAGAGAGATCTTCCTTCTAAATCCCAAACCCGATGTCAGCTCCCCTCAGTCCACTGACCTCTCATCTCTCAGTGACTCCCCAATACATTTTAGAGAATTTTTTGACATAAGGCTCCTCTAAATAAGCTCCAACTCGTCTCTTGCCAACTCCTACCTTCAGCTAAACCAAGCGCCTCCCAGGTCTCCGCATAAGCCACGCTCTTTCACGTCCTTGCTCCTTGCACCAGCTGTCTCCGCCTCTGGAAGCCTGTCCTACCCTCTCCTATCCACCTATCCCACCCCAGCTAACCCCCTTTCTAGATCAGTATGGACAGCACTCTCCCCAGGAAGTCTTCTCCGACCCAACAAGACTGACTCGTTGCCCCTCCTATCCGGCTGTATTGCCCATAGGCTGTAAGCTCCACAAAAGTAGGGAACTGACTTGACCTACTCCCTGTTCTGTCTCCAGCGCTTGGCCTGAGTCTGTATGTTCGTTATGTGGGTGGTCACCACGGATACTGCTAAGGTTTACTCTTGAGATAATGTGGACATAATTCAAAATTGACGAGCGCAATACAAACTGTAATATTACCTATGACCGACCCATTCTAGGGAACCTCCGTCACACACCGTAAGGTAGGGTCGTGTGAGATAGGAACCGCAGGTGGAGAAGCCGACTACCAGGCCTGACAGCTGCAGAGGCCCCGCATCCCTCCGTGCAGAGAACAGGCACCTTCAGGAGGCGAGCCTGCATCACAGGACCGTTACCCCTGGGGCCACTGACGTAGCCCCTTAACACTGGCACAGCCTTGTAGGGCCTTTGGGAGTACCAAGGGACACGCTCTCCCAAGCTTATACCATAGCTTCGTGAGGGAAGCTCACTTGCACCTGCACCCGAGAGGAGGGACCTCCTGGGGAAAGATCAGTCACTGGCCCCTGCTCTACAAGGAGGGAGAATAAATCAAAAACTCGGAAACCCTGGTCCTGCTCCCCAGCAGGATCCTACCCAATTCAGCCACCACTGGCATTAACACATCTGCACACACACACCCCACTTACGACATAAAAATCACTCAGTTGGTACTGCTTCCCTTTTCTTCGTCCACACTGATGACTATAAATGTTTTTTTGAATAAAAGGAAGCACATTTGTCCTAGAAGGTAAATGACAAAAATGTGAAGTCATTCAGCTTTCCTCAGAAGTGATCATCTTGCCAACTGCGACAATGCTTTACCACATACCTGTTTTTCCCAAATTGCCGATACTCATAAATTGTTAGGGACTGGTCATGAATGAAAAAGAATCCAATCAGCTCTCTGCAAGCATCACGTCCATTTCTAGAGGGGTAGAATGATGTTAAAGATTCTCACACAGAAAAAAAAAAAAGGATTTTCACGCAGGATAATTTTCAAATTAAATAATAAACCAGAATTGTGTTATGTCAAAAAGTGGGCCTAAGTGTCTTGAATGTGCGGCAGCGAGCGAGGCCTATGGGAAGTTACAGGAAACGCGGCACGGCTTGCTGAAGTGTCAGTTTAAGGAAGATTTGGGTGGAGAAAAAGGCTTTATCTTATGCTGATATGATATAGATATATTATAATGTAGATTACTGTTATGACAGAGTTTTAAGATAAAACGGAAGATCTTTAAAAATGCTGACCTTGCAAGAAGTCACTCAAGGATAGACACCAACTTTGCTACAGAAAGTTTAAAATCGCTGAAGAGACTTGATAATTTTTACAAACACACTTCACCTCTAATATACACAAAGAACATCATCATTGTGTATGATCAGAAGTTTGTAAGAGATAGCTTCCCACTGACCGACATCTATCAATAATCTACTATTAATTTAAGCCATTGCAAGAAAATCAAAGATAGCCATTTACAGAAAGGTTAATTTTTAAATGCTTTACCATCTTCTAGTAGTAGTATATATCTTTAAAAAATTCACTTCTAAAAAATAAATAAATAAATAAATAAATAAATAAATAATAAAAAATTCACTTCTAAGTTTCTTTCGAAAGCCATTTTAAAATGACTTTTTAAAATAACTTCTAATTAAAATGTCTTATTGAAAAAAATAAAATGTCTTATTGATAGGCTCATAGTCTCCATGATTTTTGTAACATATTAATATATACTACCTTAAAATGTTCATTCTAAATTCACCACTTTGCACTTATATGGGACAAACTTAAATAATCTCATTATTGTTATCTCTGTTTGAAGAGATTATTGTTTTATGACCATAGGATTAAAAGTTTAATAAAATCACAATTACCTTGATATGATCCTACCATCAAACTGTACTTTATGAGAAAGCATATTTTCAGTTAATGTGGAATGGGTTCTTATCCTGTTAAGAAATACATTTGTCAGTAATTATTTTAAAGTCTCCAATACTTGATATAAATGATAAAGTACAAAAAAAGTTATGTTGATATTTCGAAATGCACAGAACGAAGATGTCATAGACCTCTCTTGTTTTTTACTTGAGGGGATGAGCACTGGGTGTTATTCTGTATGTTGGCAAATTGAACACCAATAAAAAATAAATTTATTATTAAAAAAAAAAGAAAGTGCTAACTGAAGCGGACTCAGAGAAAATAGCCCTGAGATATAGTGCATAATACACACATGACTTCTGTGTTAGGACGTACGTACCAAAGTGCTATATTCTAACTGGTCCTGCTACAGGGTTCACTGGCTGCCATTTCTAACCCTGTTCTCCTTCGCCTTTCTCCAACCATCTAATTTGCTTTTCTAGCAGTAGAGGTGACGAAGAGACAAAGTTCTGTCAATGGTCTTCCAGGAAAGACTTTCTTTCATCCTAATAAGAGACGGGCACGGGAACAGTTCCTGCCTGTGGACGTGACAGGAATATGATGCTAGGAGCCCCTTTCGCCATCAGGCAACCAAGTCAGAAAGGCCAGTAAGATCTTGAGGAAGCCAGCCCAGAGCTGTGTCATCACTGAGCCACTGAACTAAAACCAACTGTCGCTTCCAGGCAGCTGGTTTTATAGGAAAATGAATCATGACTTGTTTAAGTCACTATCAGTCAGGTTTTTCTTACCAAAATAACAGAATAGTGGAAGATGTGCTAGATGGAGCTCCAGCCTTGGAATAGGTCTGGTGGTAGGACCTCAGATCCGCTGTTTGATGTTTATGGCCTTCAGATGGCACTAAATGATCTCACAAAGATTGACGGTCCTGAAATTCTGTTTAATAATATGAAGCAAAACCCAAATGTCCACACATTAGCACCCTACTACTAGTAGTCTCCTTTATAATAAGAAATCTGAAGATTTGGTAACGTATCTTTACGCTCCTTCCTAAATGACTATATGGCACTCCAATAAAACTAACTGCAGGTCTAATGAAACTGCAATAATGTAAATAGTAAGTAAGTGTATGGGTCACTGGGATCTTGAAAAGTAAAACCTCTATAAAGTCTAGGTCTCTGAAACATAAGCAGCATGTAGACAGGAAGAGTCTGTGGTCCAAAGGAGCTGGTGAACACAGGATGGAGCCCTGAAAGACTGGTCTTCTCACTTCAATTTAATCCATTAATATCAATGTGTCTACTGAATGCTCACTACCTGCCTGAGAAAATTCTAAATGCCAAGAAAATAACAGCAATAATAGCAGCTACTATTTATTAAGAACTCCCTGGACACCAGTCGTTATTAAAATAACTTAAATGCACACTGGTTCATTCAATGCTTGCAATAACTCTATGAAGTAAGTACTATTATCCCTTCTTACAAATAAATTTTCATTATGTAATTAGTGCATGACAGCCCAACCTTGCTTATCATAACTGCTAGGTTATATTGCTTCTCAAAGGTGAATAGAATTCAATTTAACAGCGATAGGCTGTAGTCTAAAGTCTACAGTCTCCTTGAAAAGATAAAAGACATAAACAGGACATTTATATTATAAATGGAAAGCTCTGTGTTAAGGTGTTAGGTATCCAGCAAGTAGTAACAACCACTTCTCTCCATCCAAGGTCTTAACCAACATGGGAATAAGAATCAGGCAGATGAGACCAAAATATGAATTTTATTAGTGACAAAGCTGTTGGAATCCATGGCTTAGGAATGAAGTGACCCTAGGATTACACAGACTAACCCACTCATTCCCATTGGATAGGGACTCTGTGAAACCGTGCATGCAGCAGCTTCTGCAGCCAGCGGGCTCCCAAGGAAAGAGGAGAGGAGGGCTGTGCTGTTCCTGCTTCCGACTCTGTGAAGCAAAATCCTCTTCTCCATCTCCAGGAAGAATGAATAAGGGGGGTAAAATCCATAAGTTCAATAAATCTAATTAATACCCCCTTAGAGTTTTTCATTAAACTAGGGTAGCTAAATCTAAAATTTATATTGAAGAGGAAATGGTATATCAAGATAATATTGAAGATAATAAAACTACAGGTATTTAATATAAAGCAATAGCAATTAAGACAGGATAGTATTGGTGGTAGGATACAGAACGGGGAGACAAGACTGAAGGAAAAGCCTAGAAACCAGCTATACATTTATAACAATTTGATATATTATGATGTAAGTGCATTACAAGTCGGAGGGACAATGAGTCTGCAGGAGGCAGAGATTTTGTAAAGATACACGGGGCACTAACAATAAATGGAAAGACTGGAGAACAGGTCTGCATCAAAATTAGTAACTCCTATTCAGCAAAAGACATGATCAAGAGAATGAAAAGGTAACCACAGAGTGGGAGAAGACATGGCAAGCAAACATAACTGAAAGAGCACTTGTAACAGGAATATATAAGTCAGTCCCACAAGTCAACATGGGAACGATAACCCAACCCACCTGCCGGGAAATTTCGGATAGGAGGATGTCTATTTCCCATAAGAGGGTACCGGTGTGGATTCGTAAGAAGAGCAAAGATGAAAAACCCGGGCCGAACCGAGCGCCGGCAGAGATGCTGTCAACTAGCATGTCTTTGTGCTCCTGGCGGGAGTGCTAACTGCAGCAGCCCTTCTCAAAAACTGCGGGGTGGGATTTTTTGAAGTTGAACACATGCGTACTCAATGGGCCAGGCAGTCCGTGTCTACGCTGAGCAAGAGGGACATCCTCGAGACCTCGACATCCACGAGACCGGGTGCCACGGGTCACGGGAGCACCCGTCATCACAGCCCAGGCCCATGAGCATCCATGGACACATTGCGTGCTCGCACGATCCGCACGTGGCCGTGCAATGCCCTACGGGAGGGTGGGAGATAACTGCACATGATGTCGCGGATACACTGACAGCCGTGTTGAGTAAAAGCAGCCGGTCACAGAGTCCAAATGAGGTGATTTCGGTAAGTTCATCAGGAGGCAGCCGGCGTCCCTGGCACCAGGACAGGGGCTGCCCTGCAACGCACCTGCACAGTCGTGGGGGTGCAGGTAGGGAGATTCTGGGGTCCTAGCAACGCTCTGTTTCTTGATCCAGGAACTCGGTGCCTGAGTATCGTTCAGTTTGTGGAAATTCCTATGCTGTGTACACTTAAAATGTGTACACTTCGTGGATGTATATGTATTTTATTTCAATAAAAGCTTACTTAAAAAAAAAGAGAGAGAAGCTTAGACGTGTCAGCGAAATGACCCTCCAGAGTGTTTCATAGCCTCTGCCTCAGAACACGCCAACCCGTTGGGATGGCATGACATGGGGGGCACCCGGCATGTGGGAGTCAGGGCCTTGAGGTGAGGGAGGGGCGGGCTCACCCAGCTGCAGTCAACAGCCACACGCGTCTCTACGGGAAGGCAGAGGGGTATGTGGGCACAGAGAGTGTCGGGGTGATAACACACCCACTGCTGACTTTGCACGTGAAGGAAGGGGCCAGAGCCAAGGAATAAAGGCCTCCAGAGGCTGAAAGGGGTGAGGAAGTGGAGTCTCCCCAGAAGCCTCCAGAAGGAATGTCAGTGGGATCTCAGGCTTCTGACCTCCAGACCATAAGAGAATAAATCTGCGTTGTTGTCTGTGCTCATTTGTTGCAGCAACCACAGGAAATTAATACCTGGTAACTCTGAATACTTAAAGGTATGGAAACAGAGTCTTCCAGAAAATAAGAATAAGCCAAAAAGGTAACAGTTCTAAGAACTTTCAGACCTTTACACAGTTTGAAAACATGAAAGAACTGATGTGGGAACTGGTGGATTTTCTTAGTCTCCTAAGGCTGAGGCTACCTGCCAACTGCCAGTGAAGTTTTGAGAGATTTAAGTGGACTGCGCCTGAAAACTGCAAGAAGCCCAAAGATTTTATAAATTGCAAAGTAAAAGGCAAAATAATAATAAGGACTTGTAAGCAATACTAATTTTGAAGGTATTATATCGACGAGATGTCTCAGTTACTCTATTTTCACATATATTATCTCCTAGGTTGTAACTGTTATTCCTAAATTACTAATAAAAAAAAAAAAACCTCGAGGGCAAAGTCTACTCCTCTATCTTAAAGTGGTGGAACTGGGATTTGAACTCCGAAAATTCCACTTCTCTTTAAATAGAAAAAAGGAAAAACTAGCCAAAAATATCTTTTCAAATGGACACAAGATACATTTTTAAAAATTCATTGCTAACATACTATATCTTCATTTGATTAAGTAAAATTTTCTTACTTAGTTTCATGTAGTGTTCTTTTCCTAAATCGAAGAGGTGCTATCCTGGAATCTGGAAAGACACGAGCACCGTCTTCCCTCGCAGTGGTTAGGTTTTGTTCTGGATCACTGATTACAGCCCTATGCAGGAAAATACAAAGTCTGACAACCCAGTATAATAATCAATGCACTACTCTAGTGCTCACATATTCACAGGCACCCCATCTACAAATGCAAAGTTACACTAGGGTCAGAATTATATATTTGCCAGATACCAAATGAATGAATTTAATAAAAGATACCAGCCATAAAAAGGTGGGTATTGGGGGATCCCTGGGTGGCGCAGCAGTTTAGCGCCTGCCTTTGGCCCAGGGCGCGATCCTGGAGACCCGGGATCGAATCCCATGTCAGGCTCCCGGTGCATGGAGCCTGCTTCTCCCTTTGCCTATGTCTCTGCCCCCCTCTCTCTCTGACTATCATAAATAAATAAAAATTTTAAAAAAGGTGGATATTCCTATCTATCTCTTTCTCCACAGGTGTTATCTAAATAGAAACTGAAATTTTTGAGAGAACTCTGAGCTCCATGTCTTATTATTCTTTAAACAAACAGACACTGAGCTGGTGACTTCTGAGTAAAAAACATGAAGCAAAATAATTAAATGACCATATGGAGTTCTGGGGGGAAAGTATCCCAAGCAGAGGAGAAAATAAATGCAAAATATCTAACACAGGAGAGAACCTGGTATGTCTCAGGCTTAATGGCTAAAGCAGAAAAGACGAGAAGGTGAAAAGTAGGAAAAGCGGTCCAGCGTGGGGGTGGGCAGGTCATGAGGGCTGGGGTGAACTATATCACTGGCCACAGTTTTTTAAGACTCCTGATTCACATCCTCACCCTGGCCTCATTGTAGGTGTCCTGTACTAATGTCTCACCCTTCAGCCTTGAGCTCAGCCATTTGACTTACTTTGGCCAATTATATAGAGCTGGATGGCTCTGCTGATGTCGATTAAACTAACTCGCATAAGGATGGCTCGGCTGGGGATCTGCTCATCCAGCATAATCTTGGCTAGGTGGCCCAGCTGCATTTTCAGAGTCATGCTCTTCTTGAGATCAGTGGGTTGGCCAAGCTGTGTTCTTCTCACAAATATGGCAAAAGCTCAAAAAGGCAAGTGGAAACACACACGGCTTCTTAAGGCCTAAGCTAAGAACCGAGACCACTGCTTTTGGCCAAAGTGGGTAACAAGGCAAGAGCCACTTGGCCGAGCCTAGCCTGCACAGCTGGTCTGAAGATGCACAAGCCCTAATTAATTACTGTTGCTTTACGCTACTAGGATTTGTGGTGAGATGTAACCCACACGTAGATTGTACCCTGAGATGGGAAATCACTGGAGGGTCTGGTCTGGCTGACTGGCTCATAAACTTATGCTGGTTGCTGGGTTAATAGCAGACTAACGAGGGGCAAACGCAAACACAAGTCCCGGTAGAAAGTGACTGAAATAATCCAGGAGAAGGAAGATTATACTGTCAACAGGGGTGACGGCAGCAGAAGGGGTAAATTTATTTTGGGGGTAGAACTCAGAGGCTTTGCTGATAAACTAATATAGGATCTGAGAAAAAGAGAGGCATCAAAAGCAGCACCAAGATTGTAGATCTAAATAACCTAAAGAATGAAGAAAAACTACAGAGGATTTGGCCATGGGGAAGGAGGAAAGAACGCCCAGGAACCCGGAGCAGCAAAGGCTATACTGGAACCTTCGATTAGGGAAGCATCAGCGTATAAGTAGCTTTTAAAGGCATGACACCGGATGAGATCACTCAGGAAGTCAGTGTAGAAAAGCCTATGAATGGAGCCCAGGGAGCTCCCGGGTGTAAGGACGGGGTTGACAGAAAGGAAGCAGGGAAGAGACTGAGGGGCAGGAGGGAGGAGGAAACCCAGCTACGTGTTGTGTGTAAGGAACCAAACGGGAGAGAGAAAAGTATTTTGGAGAGGAGAGTTTTCAACAGAGACAGAGGTCGCTGACGAGAAGTGAGAAGTCACCATTAGGCAAGCAACGCGGATGTCACCAGTCATCTTACGAGGACACGATACGGTGGACAGTGTGCGTGAAAACATCATCAAAGTGAGTTCAAGACATAGCAGAAGGAAGAACCAGGAGTATAATTAATTAATTATTAATAATTAATTATTTCAAGACAGTTACTGGAAAACACGCATGTAGAACACCCTTCTCTCTGCCACATAAACAAACCATCATTTTTTTCTTTCCTTTCCTTTCCTTTCCTTTCCTTTCCTTTCCTTTCCTTTCCTTTCCTTTCCTTTCCTTTCTTTTCTTCTTTCTTTTCTTTTCTTTTCTTTTCTCTTCTTTTCTTTTTTTCTTTTTTTTCCCCCCATCATTCTTTTCAAAGGTAACCATACGCCTTGCGTCTTCCTGGAAGACTGCCTAGACTACTCCAGCCTTTTCTGAAATCTTACGATATTTCCATATCGTCATGAATGTTTAGCACAGCAGATACTTAAGCTTTACACACTTTTCTAAGAGTCATGAAACTTTAGATTGAGTTTTAAATTAACAGGCCCACAGTTCCCAAACTGTGCACCAAGGCACCCCAAGGTGCCACAGGGAGGATGTGGGATATTTTTAGGTTTTTTTTTTTTTTTTTGGATATTTGTAATTTGTGAGGGAAATGCAATGATACTCGATATTTGTTGGCAACTACATGAACTACTAGCTCAAGGTAGTTCACGGTTTCAACAGGGTATTATGCTATACTCTTTCACTCTTTCACTCTTTCACTTTTTCACCAACCTTTACAGAGCTGGGTTTTCTACAGTCACCATGATAACTAGCAAGTGCCATGTGGAATTGGAAGTGAAAGTGACGGCATCCCAAAGAGGTTTAAGGTTTGCGAGATTGTGCTAAGCAACTGTGGCTATTTAAGAATGAAATACAAATATCTTTTGTTTAATTTATGTGCATTATTTTTTTTGAAACAACCATTAAGTTGTCATGAAATAGATACTTCTTTATTTGTATATAATTGTTATTTAGACAAAAGTACTTGACAAATAGAACTGTTGAGGATTTCTACTGGCCTAGAAATGCTGTAGGAAACATCACTACAACACTGTGAGGGCAGTGAACAGAGAACATTTGGGAGCTTCCGAGTTGGCCACTTGTTGATTGACTAAAAAAAAAAAAAATTGATGAAAACTTTCTGAATGGATTTCTGCTTCTCATTATTACTAACTCTCACCTAGATAAGTGGTCTGTCATCACTTGCTCTGCAACAGTCTGTTTCTTCCTCTCTGCAGCCACAATTTCCTGAGAAGAATCGAAAATTTTTAAAATTTCATTATCCATAAAACAGAATGACCCTAGAGTTAACACAAGAACCCTAACTAGATTTAACTAGATGTTATTTTTTTAGATTTAACTAGATGTTAAATTTCCAACTTTCTGCTTAAATATGGATTACTATATCCATCATTAATAAAAACAAATTCCAATTACTTAATCCGAACAAAAGTAATACACTTACATTTCGGTAGAAATCATCAGAGTTCCACACCTGCCCCTGAATTTCACGGAGCCAGAATGAAGGAGGAGGAGGCTACGATGCCCCTCTCCTTGACAGATGCCCCGTAAAAGGCACTTTAACCTGCTCCGAGAATACCAACGTTGACACATTCAGAGTTTGTTCTAAAACTATTCATAGTAGATGAAGCTAAAACGGAACTGGAGTCATTCAATCCTTTATCAAAAATCTAAGAATAAAAATCTTCCAAATGCCTCCCGTCATTAAAAGAATAACATTTTCTCTGCATATAATCCATTAACACTTGATCAACTTATCTCAATTACTGGTTTGATTAAACTACCTTCCCACTAGTTTTTGCTTTTCTAATTCATTTGAGAACAGTTTTACTACATTTTAGGTTATATCAAATTGAAAGATTAGCAATCATTCAGTTCTAATTAGATTATAATGTAACTATATTTACTAAAATGTTTCTTTTGAAGAGTAAATAAAAGATGTTCAAAAATTTAGGAGTCACAATAAAGCCTGTTGTACTTCTACACTGTAAATTACTGTCGTCTCCATAGATCAACCCGGGAAATGAAATCAACTACAATAATATAGCTTACGATTGAGGCTCAGCAGCATTAGGGGGAGTGTTCTATTCAAAATGAGCACAAAATTCAAATAAGAATGACTAAAGTTATGTCATAGAAACTCCTGAGAAACTTGAAAATTTGGGTGCAATTACTTAAATGTTAGTCTATAATTGAATTTGGTCTTTTTTTTAGTTTCATAGAAATTAAGGTACAGTTTACAGCCAAATATGCCCCATATAAAGTTCACATCATTTAACATTTGACTGCATCTGGTGTCCCCTTCAGTTCATGACACTTTATAATGACTTTTATTTAGGAATAGATTTAAAACGGCAATTAAAAAGTTAGAAAGTGTATGGTAACTACAGGCACAGAAAAGTGTGTTTTATGTCTAAGGGCGATGAAGGTGAACACTGACTAAAATATGAAATTATTTACAGAAAAGGTCAACCAGAACATAGGTGTAAAACCCAGCGGCAAGCGAAAGAGGGGAGATTAATGAATAGGGAGCCCGTGCAGAAAGCCCACCTTGGGAGTTGACATTTATGGTGGCTTTTTGCAGGAAAGGTTGGAACCACCCCCAGGCACACTGATTTTGAGGTCTGTATAAACATAAAGCAGATTAGAAGCAGAAGTCACTCTGATGCAAAGGATCTAATAATGTTGAAAAGTGAGAAGCAAACCAGAAGAGATGGATACAAAAACCACAGGTTCACCACTTCTGGTATTCGATTAAGTAGCTAAAAATTAAAAAGTTTCTACCTAGAATTTGAAAATAAACCAGTATCAATTTCAAATGCATTCACACAAACATATCCTTGGGGGGAAAAAAACGATAAATGCGTGCCACCACAATAAAGTAAAATACTCGATGCTGAACTTGCTGAATGAAAGCAGCTGTAAGTAAAAAAAAAAAAAAAAAAAAAAAAAAAACAAACCGCTAACACCCGGATGGCTTTAGGTGACACCAAGAACAACACCCAGCGGGCCTTATGCATCAGTAGCACCCATTTCAAGTACAACTTCAGGAACATATCAAAGTAAGCCTGGTCTGGGATACTATTGTGCCTTGTCAAGTAGCTTTTTAAATTTTAGGATAATCCTGGCAATATTCCTTATTCTATCAAACATAAATATCTAAATAGTAGGCATAGAAGATGATGTTCATGTTGTTTTATTTAGTACAAAAACTACAACAAACTAGCAGCTTGAAACGCCCACAGAATGGTCCGGACACTGATTGCATATTGCTGCCAACTGAGAACGTATTAATTCTGGGTGACTGTAATCCAAATAAAATATATATCGACTTTCCTCTCAGTGATAACGATTATATAACTGCATAAAACCATATCTAAACCAGAGCTCTCCCAACTTTTGAACCACTACACACTGATATTTAATGAATCCATTACAAGGACGTCTAGGGGATTAGTCACATGGGGGTGTCTGGGGTGGTCAGTGGACTCCGACCTAAAACAGCTTGGTCTGATCACCCCAGAACACTATAAAAATGTAATTATCTATTTGCACCAGACCTGGCCTAAGCCATACTCATCCAACAATCTAATTGATTTTGTTTTTTGTTTTTTTGTTTTTTTTTATTTATGATAGTCACAGAGAGAGAGAGAGAGAGAGAGAGAGAGAGAGGCAGAGACATAATTGATTTTGTAAAAGACACCATTTAAAGTTAATATTGAGAGTCTACAGTTTTGCTTCCCTTTTCCTAAAAATAAAATTATTCTTGCCCTTTTCCTTAACTTGCTGGAATTTCTCTAGTCTTATTAGCTTATCACTTCTAAAAAACAACTAGGTCAAGGGCATCTGGGTGGCTCAGTCAGTTAAGCATCTGTCTTCGGTCATGATCAAGTCCTGGGATCGAGTCCTGTGTCGGGCCTCCTGCTCAGCAAGGAGTCTGCTTCTCCCTCTGCCCTTTCCCCCTGCTCATGATCTCTCTCTCAAATAAATAAAATCTTTAAAAAAAAATAGGTTTCTTTGGGGGTAGGGGGTGATGTCAAATAAACCCACTGACAAAAATAGCAGCCGATTAACATTTTTAATAGTATAAACTAAATTTTTACAAACTCTCAAAGATTCAAGACCATTTCTCCACATTTCTCCATACACCAAACCTCAACCATTTGTAAAAACGAGAACTCAATTTACACATTTGTGAACATCCACCACAGTCCTAATTCAATTGTTGCAATTATTTACTCAATTTTAAGGCTGCAAAATCTTGGGAGGGCAAATTACCCGAATGGCTTAACAAGTAACTTACAGCATCAGATCTTCTCGTGCTCCTTTGTGCGTTATAAGGGATTTCTGCATAACCCTGCTGCAAGAGGGCTTTCCTATCCAAAGTTGTGAGAGTATCTATGATGGCTTCTTCACCTTGCACACACTGTAAGCGAAAGCAATAAATGAGCTCACGACAGTTTACACTTAGTTCACATACTTAGCATACTCGTTTTTAACAAAATAGTGTGTTAAATACCCTCTGAACACGTTGATAGTCACTGTGTAGCGATGACAGTATGGACTGACGATCAGAATGCCTATTTGAACACAGGTCTCCATCTTTTAGCTAGAGGACCTCTTGTGCCTCAGTTTACTCATAGTAATGGAATTAAAATGGGAATTAACAGTAACTATTTCACATACACGAAGATGAAATGTCCAGCACTTATAAGAGTATCTGACATAAGGTAAGCATCAGATAAAAGGTAGCAAGTACCATGACCATTACCTTCCACTTGAGTCTTTGTAGTTAACAAAAAGGGGGATCTCCTTTGTAAAATGAAATTCAGAAGTACTAAGAGGTGGGATGTACCCCTTGACGTAAGGATCCTCTGGGATCCTAAGGATAAACGCTGAATTTTTCTCTGACTATGAGATGTATTTATATTCCCCTAACAACAACAACAACGTCCCGGTAGGATAGCAGCTGCCAAAACGTCATAGATTTCAAGCTTTTCCTCCAGGGTGTGTTCTTACCTTTCTTGAAAGGTCACACTCCATATTCATACCCTACTCTCTGCGACCCTTGACTGCTACAGGAAATCCTATTATACATTTGTGTCTGAATTGTTGCCTGCCTCTCCTGCTGCAAGCTCCATGAGGGCCAGAACCTTGTCTGCCATTTTCCTTGCAGTGTCCCTGACACCAGAACAGAACCACACATAGTGAGCATTTCATAAATCCTTATTCAACAAATGAATAACGCGTCTTGCAAAAGTATTAACTACTGGGAAATCAATTTATGAGGATACGTCATAAGTTTATTCATTTACGTAGTAATATATTTGTTTTTCTTGCATAGTGACTCACTTTAGGAGACATCAAAAAGATGTTTAACATTATATAAGGTAAATTAGGCAGATTAAATTAATAGATATGTTTAAGTAGAAGCAAAGTTCTGCACTATGTTCAGGTTGGAAGAAATTTTCAAAAGAATTTTATTTTGTTTTAGTTTGTGTTTATCCTAAACAGTGACATTTCCACTTGATATGTCAAATTTAACCTCCCCAAACCAGACTTCCTGATGGTCCTCCCCACCCTTCCAATTGCTCCGGTCCAACACCTTGGGTCATCCTTCATCGTCCCTTTCTCCTAAGCCTACAATCAATCCATCAGCAGATATTCTCAAATAGTCAGAATCTATCCAGAATCTGGCTTCTTTTTTTTTATAAATTAATTTTTTATTGGTGTTCAATTTACCAACATACAGAATAGCACCCAGTGCTCATCCCGTCAAGTGTCCCCCTCAGTGCCCGTCACCCACTCACCCCCACCCCCCGCCCTCCTCCCCTTCCACCATCCCTAGTTCGTTTCCCAGAGTTAGGAGTCTTTATGTTCTGTCTCCCTTTCAGAATCTGGCTTCTAATCATGACCCACGTCTTATCCAAGTGGGTGGCCTGGGTCCATGCCTCCGTCCTCATCTCTTGTTGGGATTATTGTGACAGCCTCCTCAGACATTTTTGCTTCCAGCTTCGCTCTATTCTCAGTAAAACCTGCCCTCAAAGCAGAAAAATGGCTTTCAGCCTCAGAGTGAAAGGCCAAACCCTGGGTAGTGCACAGGGCTCACAGATCTGCCTCCCAGCCCTCCCTTGCCCTTCGCCCTCCGACCACACCATCTTCCCTGATATTTCTTAAACACTCCACGCTGCCTGCTACTTCATGACACGTGAGAGTATATCCTGGGTGGCTTGCGTGTCATCCTTGTCAGATGCCTGCTGAAATGCTACCTTATGGGAAAGATCTTTCCTGGTGGTCCTGAACGAATAGTGACCCCAACCTTGAGCCCTGGTCTTCCCAGTGCCCTTCCATCCACAGCATTAATCACCAACTGTCAGACTAGATGGGGTGACTGATTTGAGTCATTCATTCATTCATTCATTCATTCATTCATTTTTTTTCTTGCTAAATTCTTCCATTATGATACGCACTCTGTAAGGGTAAAAATATTTGTCTGTTTTATTCACTGACTTAGTGTTTTCTGCAAAATTGAAGTTTAATGACTTTCAGGCTTCATTTAAATATGTTCCACCATTTAAAATATAAGTTTACATTTTAGGAATGATTTGACACCAAGAGATTCATCAACATTTTATACTAAATGGAAGGAAAACTCAACAAAGGAAGTTTGCCATTAAACAAGCAGAGAGGAACTTTTACTGTTTGATTTTCTGTTGACTGATATATCAGCTTGACTAGTTCATGGTTATGACCATAAGTTATTGTCCTAGATCTTAAATATGTTTAACTTCAGCTTTTTAATCAACAAAAAAGAATCAATTTACATGTTATGTTGTTCCCTGCTTTACTGAGGAGCTTACGTTTCTGATATCAGGAAGCAATTCTATTTCCAGAGATTACTATTCCAGTGTTAATTAATGTAATTGTAATAGGATTTACTAATAGCCCATTTAGATAGCAGTGTTGATTTTCATAACAGTATACACCTAAAAAAAAATCAAATAAGTTGCTTAAATCCATTAACTACAAAATTATTATGTATAAAAACCAAGACTTTTTGTAAGACTACCTACCAAAAACATATGAAATAATAATTATATGCATTTATATGTAGATTTTAAAAATCAAAGCAAAACAGAATTTTTCCCAAAAGAAAACTCTGTTCATATCTTACAAGTATTTACCAACCATATGGGAAGCTTCACAAGCAGTATTTGTTCCTCCCTTAACTGAAAATAAACAAATGCCTTCATTTGAATGAACATATGTTCAAGGAAATCAGTTTTACTTTAAAAGAAATTTTAGGGGCGCCTTGGTGACTCAGTTAGTTAAGCCTCCAGCTCTTGATTTCTGCCCAGGTCATGATCTCGGGGTCATGAGACCAAGCCTCCCAATGGGTCCCTGCAGAGAGCCTACTCCTCCCTCTGCCTGGGTCTCTGCCTCTCTCTGGTCTCTCATGAATAAATAAATAAAATATTTAAGGGGAAAAAAAACAGCTTTATAATACAGTCTTGTTTCCAATCCCAAGGCAAATGAAAATCTTTTAACACAGAAAAGATGACTAGGTCATATGACTAGAGTTTTCACAATAGAAAGTGACAGTAATAAACTTTTAGAGCTATTAAGAGTAAACTAGTTAATGCAAATACTTAAAATAGTCCCTAGCACACAGAACTAAGTGCTAGCTATACATGTACTATGACGAACAGTAAGAAATACCAGACAAAAGGATTTCTATAATACATGTAGTTTTTTTTTAAATTTTTATCAGAAAAAAAATTTCATCAGAACCTCATAAAGTCTCATATCTTACCTTGTCATCTATCTTGTTTCTTGGAGACTGTTGCATAATCTTTGATTTAGTCTTTTCTGCATTTCTCTGGCTATACTGTTTATACCCCTCTTTCATTTCAGTTTCATATTGCTGATATTTTAGTTTATATTTGCTTGTTGGTGCTGGCAAGTTTTCAGGTGTTATGTCTTGCTCCTGGATATAAAAATTAAAAAATTAAAAGTATGTCATCTACCAGAAAAAAAATGATTATTAATTTTCCAAATTAATGTTAACAGGTTTACCATTGATCTTAACATTTATGCCTAAGAAACGGATCATTATGATCTGTGTGCCAACCAGAGGTGACATCTGGAACATTTAGCTGGTGTGACATTGCTGAGCCACCAAGCAGATGGAGCTGCTGGGATCTGAAACACCTGAAACACCAGGAAGCCTGTACCTGGTCTCCCTGCAGAAGAAGAGTGCTGGTGCCAAAAAAATTTGAGAAGACAAAAATTAACTTTTCTTTCTTCTCAGGTGCTTTAGATCGGCCTTTTATTCCTGCCCCAGCAAAACTCTACTGACAAGCACTTCTTCCAGAGTCGTTACAGCAATCGGAGGTCACTAAGGTGGCTGCCTGCCTCTGCTGTGACCCAGGCCTCTGCCGAATGAATGGGGCTGAGAGGCCACAGCCAGTGAACAGAGAAATCTGGAAGGAGTGCTAAGCAAACACAATGGCGTATACGTTGGCCCAAGAGGGACAGCCAGCCTAAAAGGAGGATAAAGCCTGCATGGCCCTAGGAAAGTGTTGGTAACATCCACGTCTAACCTAGAGAAGGAGAAAACAGAAGTTTCAGGGTGAAAACTGGAGCTGGAACACAACAGGGCACCAGTGTGCAGCCGTCCAGAGACGGAGGAGAATACGAACAGCACCAGCCAAGGGCACCGGGCTCAGTCTGCTAAGTCCCTCGGGTTGTTTTTGTTTTTGTTTTTAAGATGTTATTTACTTATTCATGAGACACAGAGAGAGGCAGAGACCCAGGCAGAGGGAGGAGCAGGCTCCCTGCAGGGACCCGACGGGGACTCGACCCAGGACTGGCACAAGGCAGATGCTCAACCGCTGAGCCCCCCGAGGCCCCCACACTGTCTCTTAAAAAAAAAGAATAGAACCAGTGACAGAAGAAAGACTAACAAAGACAAAAAAGCAAGCCCTCCTCAGAGTGCTAGTCAGAACTTCTGTTCCTAACACAAAATAAGACACTAAATACTGTTTGAAGTATAAATAAGTCCCAAGGAAATAGCTTGAAATAAGTATAGTAATACATATGAGCATCCGAGTAGCCCAAAGTAGGAGTTAATTTCTAAGAGATAAACCACATTGTGAAACTAGCAGGATCTGACCTAACACTCTACCATATGTTTTAAATTCCTGGATTCCCTCTTAGGGTACACCAGTACTTTTCCAATTTTATAAGACATGTTTAAAATACTATTCCTATGTGAAAAACAGAAAGCAAAGTAAAACTATTTCACCGACATGATAATTTGGGATGTTAATATAGAAACTACTAACCTGGACAAAACATAAGACGGAATATAATGAAATTTCTGGACTAAATACAGCATAATCTAATTCTGAAAGTTGGTAACAAGAAATAAATACTAACCGGTTCATTTTCATTAAGCTGAGTATGTGATATTTGACATGGTGTGATGCAACTAAGAGCAGAAGATGAATTTGGTGGGTTAAAATGAATATGCGCGGTACTAAGTGGGATGTGTGAAAAATCATCCTAAAATAAAAATAAATACTATGTATTATACAGTATATATGATATTGTGTTCAAATGTTTATCATAGCAAATACCAAGTAAAAATTACCTCCTCATCAGAGTCAATGAGGCTTTGCAAATCAAGTGGTGGAACCCTGAAAGAAATAATTTATACATCCCGTAAGTTTTCTAAATGAGGCTTTAACAGTTGCAAATTATATATGCTACATCTTATTTAAAAAAAAAAAGGTACGCTAAAGCCAGTGGTGCCTGTACCTACCAGCCGTGAAAGGCTTTTGTTAAATGTTCAGTAGTTTTTGAGCTGGTTTTTTGTTTTGTTTTGTTTTAAAGATTTTATTTATTTATTCACGAGAAACAGAGAGAGAGGCCAAGACACAGGCAGAGGGAGAAGCAGGCTCCATGCAGGGAGCCCGACGTGGGACTAGATCCCGGGACCCCGGGGGTCACACCCTGGGCTGAAGGCAGATGAGCCACCTGGGGATCCCCTCGATTCTTTATCTAGATGAGCATACAGGTATCTGTTATGTAGAGCCACATGAAATTGCTGATACCTGCCCATTTTTCATCTATAAAAATGTCAACTTCATATGGTTTAGACTAAAAATTATTAGGCTTTTAAATTCTATTTTCTAATAAGCTGTATCTAAAATACTTGAAAGAATATAAAAATCCTATATTTCCAAATTTTGGAAATATGTCAGATAAAACATAAGTTAATATAGTCTAATCCAAAAATAAGATAATTTAAATAAGATTGATAAAATTGTCATATTCCTCATGATAAGATTAAAGCCACAGATATTTCCTATTAAATTCATTTTGACTATCCCAGTTATAAAATTCAAAATTGTATAATTAATAAATTCATTTATCCGAATTTTCCAAATAAAACAATAAACTTTTTCAGGAAAATGTAAGAATATTAAAGAAAATTTAAAAACAGGAGAAGTATAAGGGCACCTGTGGCTCAGTCAGTTAAGCATCTACCTTCAACTCAAGTCCTGATCCTGGGGTCCTGGGATCGAGTCCTGCATCACTCTCTGCACAGAGCCTGCCTGCTTCTCCCTCTCCCTCTGCCTGCCACTCTGCCTACTTGTGCTTTCACTCTCTTTCTCTGTCAAATAAATAAATAAAGTCTTAAAAAAAAAAAAACAAGAGAAGTATTTCCCTCAGTATCCTACTTAATTTTGGCATAGCAATTTTCAGGCCATTCACATGGATACCAATTTTTCTGTGGTTCACAATCATAGCTACATATAAAATTCTGTTCTCTTTTTTTTTACTTGTTAATATATTATAAATATTTGCCCATTAAATAGCTCAAGTGTGAAGAAATGTGACTTACACTGGTAGGCGAGGATTCTGGATTGCCCATGATTTGGAAGTTTGTCCTTGCTTTAATTAAAAAAAGAAAAAAATCAGTGTGTATATGCCCCTTCTGTATACTTTAAAAGATAAGCAATGAGTCAATGCAATAAAGCTGATTATAGTTTTCTCAGTAAACTTCATATAAGAAATACTTATTAAGCCTAAGCTTCTTCCTACCGTGCTTGAGACACAGAGATAGGATGATAAGCAACAAAAATAATCCTTACCCTCATGGTGCTCTGTCTGCTGGGGATGACATTCACTCAACAAACCATAATGTGAAAAAACACGGGCTATGACAGAGCAGCTACATAGAGCATTTTACTCAAGTCTCGGAAATTGAGGAAGCTTTTTCGAAAACAAAAAGAACAGTGACCTTTAAACAGAACTCTGAAGGATGAGTAGTAGCCAGATAAAGATAGAAGGGAGAAAACTGCTTTAGCCAGGAGAAACAACACTCATCCTGTACCAGCCCTAGAAGGGGCCGAACTCCAGGGGGGACAGGGTAGTGGGGCCAGAGCCGTCGCAAAACAACACAAGTCGAAGACCTTGTCCTAAAGGAAAGGGGAAAACTGCAGGATTTGTGCATAGAAGTGATAAATATATACTTTTACATACATTTGTAGATGTTCAAGCTTATTTCCAAAAAACTGTCCAAAAGAGATGAAAATACAGTGAGCCACCATGGAATAAGAAATATATATGAATCATAGAGAAAATTCAAGGTAATGAAGGGAGGAAACAACGCATCCATCAACTCTTCTGGCTAACTTCTAAAACGTTATCTAACTGGTCATTTTTGTGATATCGATAGCAAGTATAGAAATTACATTCAAGACTGAGCTTTATCACTCTAATTGACCATGAGAGAGAAAACAAATTCAATTCAGTATAAGCTTTAATATGGCATTGTTTTCAATACAATCCTAATAAAAAGTTAAAATGTAGAAATGTAAAATCAAAATGATCAATTAATTGGAATATATATAATAATAAATATAATACATATGATAACATAATACATATACATAATCTATTTATGCTAAGTTGGCCCTTCAGCAATGCTGGGGTTAAGAGTACCAACTACTTCCCCCCATATGGTCAAAAATCCACGTGTAACTTTTGACTCCGCAAAAATTTAACTCCTACTGGCCAACTGTTGACTGGTAACATAAAGTCAATTGTCCTTCTCACCTTTTATTTTAAGCTACTTCTATGTCACCCCTTAAAATCATGTTTATGTCTATATAATAGCCCATCTAAAGGTCGTGCCATAATTTATGTATTTTTCGGTTGCTACATATTTTTTTCATTATTTCAAAAAAACATACTTCAAAAAATACCTTTCTTTTCAAGTAGCTTTGTTCTATGCTTTAGATTATTTCCTTAGAACAGATTCCAGGAATGGTATTATTTGCATGAAATCATTTGAAAATTTTTATAGCTCAATCTTGTTTCCAAAAATGCAGTACCACTTTCGTTTATTTTTTGGTTTTTTTTCGTGTTTGATTCTATAGTATTTTAATTTAGACTAGGCATTTTCTAAAGAACATAATATAAACATTACAGTCAAATGCCCCTGCATTCCAGAAACTCAACTCCTAAAAGTTTTGCAAAGAGGTGGAACAATTCCATACCTCCCTCTGGGCTCCTTAATCCCCATCACCTGTTTAAGCCAACTCCCCACCCACTTCCCCTGTGGTACCAGTTTATAACGCACTAACTCTACATCAGAGTATTTCAATATTACATTTTTCTGCTAATTTAACAGAGGCATAAAAGTATATCACACTGTTCATCACTGTTCATTTTCATTCTCTTGATTATCAGTGGGGCTGAACAAGTTTTTATATTCTTATCTGCTACACATATTTATCAGTTGTTGGTGCTTATAATGATTTGAAACATCAAGGACCATTTTTTTAAAAAAGATTATGTGTCATTTCTCATTTTTAATTCTAGCTTTTAGATACCCCCAAAACAGTAGTGGTAACTACAACATTTAAACTAGGCTGATAATCTTGAAGAGACAATAACCTGGATATCTAGGATCACATTTTCCTTCAGGAACAAAAGTTCTTTTTTTTTTTTTTTTTGATAGATTTTATTTATTTATTTGCAAGACAGTGAAAGTTAGAGCAATCACAGAGGGAGAAGGAGAAGCAGACTCCCCGCTGAGCAGGGAGCTCAGTGTGGGCTGCCAGGACAGAGATCATGACCTGAGCCAGAGGCAGACACTTATCCACTGAGCCACCCAGGCACCCAGGAACAAGGGTTCTAAGATAATATAAACTTGTTCCCTCACCCACCACTAGTTGGACCTTCCTCTTTTTTTTTTTTTTTTCTAGCTGGACCTTCCTAATAAAAAGATCAAAGGAGGGTATTATATGAGGAGAAAACGTTTAGTAACAGAAAGCCTTTTTTTAAGAACTTAAATCATGCACTGTCTTAACAACTAGGAAAAAAGCTGAAGCCTCCACAATATGATAATCAAACAATCAGTGGGTAAGGCTGAAATACTTGATATTTTGTACTTGGCATTTGACAAGAAGGACTGCTTTATTCAAATTATCAAATAATTCAGATTTAACTCATAATATTACGAACCATAGGAACCCCAAAGCACTGACTCATTCATAGAAGGGAGACAGCGGAACACGGGGTAATGAGCACAGATGGTTGAGGTTAGAACTGGAGTTCAAAATCTGGGCAAGTCACTTCATCTCCAGGAGCCTCAGTTCTTCCATTTCTAAAAGCAGGTTAATAATATAATACCTACCTCAAAGGTTTGTTGTAAGAAATAAGTGACATAAGTTAATGAAACATTTATCGCGGTCTCTGCCAAGCAGTAGGCATTCAATGTTTAGAATAATAACAGCAGGAAATATACATCACTTTTATGTTTCTCTAAACTAAAATGTATATACACTCAATTCTATGGTGGAAACAAGGACAAAGCAGCTGTAAACTTGTGCTTAATCAATGATACGTATGCACAATGGTGATATTATGAAGGTTATGAAGAATGAAAGGCCTAACAATAAAAGCTCAGATTTATTTCTTTTTTTTTCAGATTCATTTCTTACGTAGCTAACACAAAATGTACACTGATAGTCTCTTATTTTTTCTACTATCCCTCTTTCTTACATTTTCTGCAGATATACACAGAAAATTTTTTAAATAAGAATATGAAAGCAATAATAATAAACTTGATTTTTAAAAATGAAACTTATGGGATGCCCGGGTGGCTCAGCAGTTGAGCGTCTGCCTTCGGCCCAAGGCGTGACCCCGGGGTCCTGGGATTGAGTCCTGCATCGGGCTCCCTGCATGAAGCCTGCTTCTCCCTCTGCCTGTGTCTCTGCCTCTCTCTCTCTCTGTGTCTCTCATGAATAAATAAAGTCTGTAAAAAAACAAAATAACAACAATAATAATAATAAAATAAAAATGAAACTAATTCAAGCAATGACCCACTTTCAAACTTTCAAATAATGATTATCTTCAATTCTGGCCACTTAACTCTTCAAATCTAGGAAATATGGATCCTAAATACTTGTGCATATAAGTTGTCATAAAAACATGAAGAAAGGAGTCAGGAAATTATTTAATGAATCATCCTACAAGAAGAAAATGAAATAGCACACATACTTGCAGCAGCTTCTTTCTTCCAGAGAACGGCTGAGCTTGACTTGTAGGAGAAGCAGCAATCCCTTTAACCTCTAAATCCATTTAAGTTTACGTATTTATCCTGCAGTATATTTTGAAAAGGGTAAAAATCATAAAAATGGTAACTTTCACTCTAATTTTAAACAAGTCATACAAACTACGTAACACTACTTCATGGAAAGAAATCATATGGTTAATTATTCTTGCTCCTTTCAACCAAAATCAACTTTTTATGGGCCAATTACATTATGTGGGGCAATACCTACAGGGCAAACGCTAGTCTGAACCATGTTCCTCCAAAGATGTCCATGTCCTAATAACTGGACCCTGGGGATAGGCTTACCTTGGTCGTGTAATGACCAAGAGGACTTTTCAGATGTGATTCGGTAAAGGATTTGAGGTGTGCAAATTATATTGGATTATCTGGAGGGCCCTATGTCATCACCAGGGTCCTGATAAAAGGGAGGCAACATGATCAGGGTAAGAAAGAGAAGATGTTAAGACGGAAGGCACGGGTCAGAGGGAGTGAGGATACTATACGGCGGGCTTTGAAAATGGGGGGAAAAGAATGGGCAGTCTCTGCAAGTTAGAGGAGGCAAGGAATGAATTTTCCCCTGGAGCCTCCAGAGGAACCAGCCCTGCTGACAGCTTGAGTTTAGCCCTGTAGGACTCATCTGGTGCTTCTGACCTCAAAATGTAAAATAATGAATTTAAGTTGTTTCAGACCACTAAGTTTGTGGTAATTTTTTACAGCAGCAATAGGAAATGAATGCTTGTATTTCTCTACCACAAAGTGACGTACATTATATTTTCTTTACTCTTTTTCCTAAACCTTTATGAGTTTTGATTTTGCTAGAGTAAGCTAATGAAAAAAATGTGTTATGCAAACAGTATTCTTTGATACAAAGAATAAAATACAGTGAGTAGTCCAACCGGCAATTATGAGGCGACAGGTAAAAGTGCATGTAAGAGAATGCTGAGAATGATCAACTTGCAAAAGTGTACAAAACAGAAATCAGATGAATATCTCAGTCACGCAAATTTTGAATATTTTATTTTACACTTTAACTTTATATTACTGAGGATATGTTGTTTAACAATTCATATTTCTGTTATTAGACTTGGATTTATTTTAGTAGTGATTTTTTTTTTTTTTTTTACTTTTTAAGGAAAGAGCATGGCATAGTGCCAGCATAGAGTTAAACTGACGTTAAAATCCTCATTTTTGACACTTTCCTGTAATGTAAAGTTGGGTAAGAACTTAATATTTCAGAGCCAATATTTCTAATATGTAAAGTGAGTTTAATGTTAGCACCTTTCTGATCTTCCTGTGTTAGGTACAACACAGCTACTCGATACATGGTAGCCATCAATGTTATTCTTAAAATGTAGTTTTACTGCAGGCCCAGTGAAAATCTGAAAGATATTCCAGTTCTTCACTAATTTATCTGTATGGCTCCCCTTACCCCATTTCCATAGCCCCCTCCCTTAAAACTCCATGCCCCAAGTCTAGATTTCTACTCTAAGAGTAATGTCAGGAAGCTTTAGCAACCAACAGTAGACATATTCTGAAAACATCACAAATCATCAGATTCAAAAATAATTTGACTTTTTTTCTGAGTTATCCTTCACAAAGAAGCAACTTTTAAAGTTGTTACTTCCTTTTTTAAATATTTTATTTATTTATTCATGAGAGACACACACACACAGAGAGAGAGAGAGAGAGAGAGAGGCAGAGACACAGGCAGAGGGAGAAGCCGGCTTCACGCAGGGAGCCCAATGGGGACTCGATCCTGGGTCCCCAGGATCACGCCCTGGACCGAAAGCGGCCCTAAACCGCTGAACCCGGCTGCCCTATTACTTGCTTTTAATCACATCATAAAAGCTGCTGTATTTGCCATGTCGGATGGCCGCCAACAAACTGAGGAATCAGCAAGTGATTTTCTTCACACACCAGCCACAGGGTTCTTTATACCTTAGAAACCATCGTACCCATTTCAAACCATGTTAAGTCACTGTAAATCCCCATCATTCATTTGCAAACAACAAAATTCAACAAAACGTAAATCCCCTTTCCAGGACCTCCTAGTCCCTGTACTTCCGCAAGCTTGACAATCGTACCTCTCCACTTGTAATTACTCTTTTCGTGCCCCTAACAAACAGCAAGGCCATGAGGGCTGGTATCTCTTGTCCTTAATATAGCAAATACTTCAGAAATGGCTTTTAGTCCATAAAGAAAGTAATGCACAGTCAAGTTCCTGTAAACATCATGAACATATCGTTTGTTTCGTTTCTCTGAACCTAAATATGACAGGATCCCAATGCCGCATATAAATTCCGTCTTCAAACAACAGCGCAGGCATTCGAAGCATAAGGGGTGGCTACTATTCCTCACACTACTGTAAGCCTCCTAAAGGCAACGAGTGTGGCTTTGCTCACCTTGTATCTCAGCTCCTAGCGGAGAGCCTAGAAAACAGTAAGAACTTAATAAACATTTGTTAAATAAGTGAATTCAGTCAATTCAGATATGAGCTATTTCAGAACTATGCAGCGTGCAAGTGGGCTTACTTGGATAGAACCAGAGTCTTCACAGGGCAACCATCGCCCGTGGAACACTCCAGGATCTACAGAATCAGAACGGTCAGGCTACTGACGCCGTGTGTACCCTTATATCAAAGAATCTTAAAATCTGGACGGGCCTGCAGAGATTAAACAGCTCAACCTTCTGATTTTCAAACTGAGGAATCTGAGAACCAAACCAGGGCCATTTGCTCTGCCAAGTTATTTGCTAGTTATTACTGAGCATGGATTTATACCACTTTCAGACCTCTTTGTAAGCCTACACCCTTGCTTGCACGGGTCAGAAGAAAGAGAAGGAGCTGCAGAAACTCAAGGGCACCAGAAACCTAAACTTGCTGGCAAAAGAATCAGAATTTCCAATGAATAGCATGGGAAGGGACCTTTGGAAAGCATACGGAAGTCTGTCCCTGTCCTATAGCACAGGAGGTGCAGCTGGGGATGAGGGGTGGTGGCCACAGGGAAACGCTTGGGAACAGCTGTCTGCACTCAAACTGGATGGAGACTACATCTCGCCTGAGCTGAACAGCGCTGGCTAACACACTCAGATCTTACGTACTACCTTCCCTGCTACCAGAGAACTGAACTCACCTCCCCCTTCCCTCATTTTTTAAAGATGATTATTTCCAATTGCAATTATCACCACTGCTCTCTTGGTGAGGGATATCAGTGGCTATGATTTGCTTACACTAAATCAGAACATAAGCGAGAGAGAAGAATAAATTGATCAATTCCATCCCATAATCAAGCAAAGAGGAAAAAGATTATTTAACCTCCATGCAGGTGAGGATCAAATTTATCTTGGGGCCCAGGTGGTAACAGACCCAGGTATTTGTTTTGTTTTAAGGTTTTATTTATTTACTCATGAGACACAGAGAGAGAGGCAGAGCTGCAGGCACAGGGGGAAGCAGGCTCCCTGTGGGGACCCAATGGGGACGCGGTCCGGGACCCCGGGGTCACGCCCTCGGCCGCCGGCAGATGCTCCACCGCTGGGCCCCCCGCGTCCGCAGACCCAATTATTTGAACGAACCGGGCGTCATTCCTACTTCATAGTGACCATGTGTCCATCATCCTCCTGAAGCTGCTGCTTTCCGTGGACGGACCTGCGAAGGCCCAGGACCAGCGCCCTGCCGTTCTCCGGAGCTTCGCGCTGGGGGAACGCCGCACCGCACCCAGCAAGCCGCTGGAGGCAGCTCCCGGGCGGGACGGACGGGAAGGGAGCCGCGGGCGCCCCCGAGCCCCGACTCCGCTCCACGCACGGCGGGAAGGGCCCGGCCCGGCTCCAGCAGGCCCAGGCCCGCGGCGGCAGTCTGCCTAGCAACAGGGCCTAGCAACAGGGCCTAACAAAAGGGTCCTAGCAACAGGGCCCAGAAACAGAGCCTAGCAACAGGACACTAGCAACAGGGCCCTAGCAACAGGACACTAGCAACAGGGCCTAGCAACAGAGCCTAGCAACAGAGCCTAGCAACAGAGCCTAGCAACAGGGGCCTAGCAACAGGGCCCTAGCAACAGGGCACTCACAGCGCCTCTCCGGCCGCGCCCGTTCCCAGGGGACGCAAGATCCTCCTCCCAAAGCTCTGGCCCCTCCAGGCTACCTCCCGCCGCAGGCGCGCCGGCCGACACCCCAGGCCCGCCTCGGCCCGGCCCAGCCCGCCCTGGCCGCACCACGCCCCTACCCGGACCGCCCTCCTCTGGCCACGCCCCCGGCCACGCCCCCAGCCACCCTGACCACGCCTCCGTCGCTGACCCCGCCACCTCTGGTCCACTCTGAACACGTTCCGCCCCACCCCCAGGCCACGCCGACCCCGCCCCCTATGGCCACCCCTCCCCGCCTGCGACCCCGCCCCGCCCCGCCGGCCACCCTGAGCCCGCCCCCGTCGACCCCGCCCCCGCGGGGTCCTCACCTGAGGGCGGTGCTGCGTCCCCGCGGCGGGGTGGAGCGGGGCGGGGCGTCCTCCGGGCCCAGCCCTGGGGCAGCTCTACGTCCTGGCGGGGATCTGGACGCGGACTCCACCCCCAGGGGCTCCTGCTCGGAGACAGCGCCGAAGCCAGGCCCGGATCCGGGCGGCTCTCGTAGAATGGTGCGGTGAGTGAGCGTAGATTTTTTTTTAAGATTTTATTTATTTATTATTTATTTATTTATTTATTTAAACTTTTTTTTAATTTTTATTTATTTATGATCGTCACAGAGAGAGAGAGAGAGAGAGAGGCAGAGACACAGGCAGAGGGAGAAGCAGGCTCCATGCACCGGGAGCCCGACGTGGGATTCGATCCCATGTCTCCAGGATCGCGCCCTGGGCCAAAGGCAGGCGCCAAACCGCTGCGCCACCCAGGGATCCCAGATTTTATTTATTCCTTTTACAGAGAGAGGAGCGCGCATGCGCCCGAGCGGTGGGGACGGGCAGGAGAGGGAAGAGCGGGCTCCCCCAGCAGGGAGCGGGCTGAGCCCCGGCCAGATGCCCGGGTCGACCAGATGCCCAACCGGCTGAGCCACCCGGCGCCCCTTAGCATCCTACATGCGCCTCCACTGAGAGCTCAGATCCTAAGAGGAAACAATTAGGCTGTGAGGTCCAAGTGGCGGGACCCTTGCAATTGTTGGAAAAGACGAGACTGCCTCGCCGTCTTCCAGAGCGGTACCCAGAGGCAGGTACCCAGGTACATGCATGTGTAGGGAGAAAACACCAACACGGGGAAGGGGACCAAGCCCAGGAACCAGGAGTGTCCGTCTCACAATGTCCCGGTGGCCAACTCATCAGTGAAAGGAAAGGTCGGGGTTGAGCTATTTCCGAGGGTCCGCTCCCCTGTACTGTGCCTGTAGCCTTCCTGCTTTACACAGCCGGTGTCGGATGCTCAAGTAGAACTAAGATCTGAAATCTAATCCAGGTCTTAACCACGAAATCAAGTGTCTTTTCAAAGTTAGCCCCCCTCAAAATAGATGTATCTGACTTTGCAGGTTGGAGTCACTTTCAGAGTAAAATACAAATATATTTGCAATGGGTATATGGTAATGACTCCTGCTTCTTCCCTATAAAAATTCATCCATGCATTCCCCTCCCCCCTACACACAGAAGGAAAGACAAATATAAACTAGAAAAAACAATATATATATATATAAGTATATAAACAAATAAGTGTTATATAAAGTATATAAACCTAGCATTCCCTTTTTTTAAAATATTTTATTTATTCATCAGAGACACAGAGAGACAGGCAGAGGGAGAAGCAGGCTCCATGCAGGAAGCCCGACATGGGACTCGATCCCAGGACCCCCTGGATCACACCCTGAACCAAAGGCAGACACTCAACCACTGAGCCACCCAGGCGTCCCTAACATTGCCTTTTTTTTTTTTAATTTTTTTTAATTTTTATTTGTTTATGATAGGCACACAGTGAGAGAGAGAGAGGCAGAGACACAGGCAGAGGGAGAAGCAGGCTCCATGCACCGGGAGCCCGACGTGGGATTCTATCCCGGGTCTCCAGGATCCCGCCCTGGGCCAAAGGCAGGCGCCAAACCACTGCGCCACCCAGGGATCCCCTTAACATTGCCTTTTAAATTGAGTCTAAGATACTTTTTGAGCCTCTGGTATGTATATGATGAATGAGATCGTTGCTAAAGAAGCTTACAATTGTATGCAACATTATTAGAAAGTTAAGGAGTGCTCATTGCTTCATCAATTCAGTCAATAAGTAGTTACTGAGGGCAGAAGTGTTCAGTAACTGCTCTGGGTGCAATAAAGCAAGTAAAACCAGTTTCAGACAGATTAAAATCTAAGGCGACAAATGTTAAATAAATAATGTCATCTCAGGTAGCAGGTAATGTGATGAAGAAAACCACAACAGGATAGACAAGCACAGCATGGGTTGCAGGCCCAGTTCTGCAGACAAGGGAGTAGCAGCCAGGGCCAAAGGCTGGGGATAGAGCACCCTTGTCAGGCCGCGGCCTGTGCTGGAGCAAAGCGAGCCAGTGGAGGATGCAGGGATTAGCGGGGTCAGATTGAATCACGCCCTGTGGGCCCAACTAGGATTTTGGATTTAATGGGTATGACATGAAGTCATCAGAGGGTTTTGAAAAGAGGGGAGGCTGTGATGCTGTGATTCATTGTAAGAAACATACTTGACCTTCCTGTTTCGGGGCACAGAGCTCCTAAAACCCTCGAGCAAGGAACCTTTTTTTGTTATTTTAATGAAGTGACTCTTGGACAGCACCTAAGGACAGAGGCTGGCTGCCTGTGGAGCCAAGCCCATGATTAGAGTTTCAGCCCTACCCTCAGGCCTCCTTAGGAGGGGACAGGGCTGGAAGTTCGATAGCCTGCTGAGGAGCTAGGACCCCAGAGGCTGGGGCTCCCAGGGAGTGCGCTTCCAGATGCAACATGGAAGTTCTGCCTGAGATTTTTCAGACTCAAGACACCACATCAACTGTCACCCCTCAGCTGCCCCTACAGATTTTCGGCTTGCCAGCCCTCATAATTGTGGGAGCCACTTCCTTTAAAATCTGTGTGTAGGTACACATGTATATAAAAGGGAGAGGAGTGGAAGTAGGTGTCCACTAGTCCTGTTTCTTTGAGAAACTCTAATATACAGAGAAAGGAAAAAAGAAAGTAATAAGATACAGGATTATGAGCTGATTTAATGACAGAAGGTTCTAATTGGAGGACTTCATAAAAGGAACTAATGATTGCAGTCTTAAAAGATTCATTTGTTTATCAAATATTGAACTCTTTTGAGATGCTGGGGATACAGTAGTGAAAATGATAAGGAATCCCTGCCTCATGGGGCTTACATTCAATTGAGGGGAGAAATAATAATGTAAATAAGTAAATTGCATATGATATGAGGATAAGGGTTATGGGGAAATAATACAGCAGAAACAGGCCAACAGGGCAGCTTGGGTGGCTCAGCAGTTTAGCGCCACCTGTGGCCCAGGGCCTGATCCTGGGGTCCAGGGATTGAGCCCCACATCAGGCTCCCTGCACGGAGCCTGCTTCTCCCTCTGCCTCTCTCTCTGTGTCTCTCATGAATAAATAAATAAAAGGAAAGGAAAGAAAGAAAGAAGAAAGAAAGAAAGAAAGAAAGAAAGAAAGAAAGAAAGAAAGAAAGAAAGAAAGAAAGAAAGAAAGAAAGAAAGAAAGAAAGAAAGAAAAAGAGAAAGAAAGAAAGAGAAGAAAGAAGAAAAAGAAAAGAGAAAAAGAAAGAAAGAAAGAGAAAGAAAGAAAGCCCACAGCAAGCCATAGGTGTAGGGTGGAAAATGTAAAATGCTACTCTGAGGTATTCTGAAAAGATGAAGTGTGAGCAGATGCTCGCACAAGATGGCACAAGATTCCGAAGCAGCCCTGTAGCTTTCTAGGGGGACGAGCCAATGCCCTGAGGCCGCAGCGCCTCTGGTTCCTTAAGCGGCAGCGACGGGCCTGCGTGCGCGCAGGAGGGAAGGCCGGGGGCTCCGCGGTCAGGGCCTCGGGCCGCAGTGAGGGCGCCGTGGGACCGGCCGTCGGAGCCGGGGCGATCCCCACGGGCCCCCTCGGGCCCAGCCCGCGCCGCAGTGGGGGGGAGGGGCGGGAGCGCGAGCCCCCGCCCCCCGCCGTTAGCGGCCCCGCCCCCCGCCATGGCGCTGACAGAGAAGCTGCGCTGCCTCTGGACGCTGGGCCTGTGCCTGGTGGCCGGCAGGTCCCACGCCAGGGCCCCGGCCGCCGACCGCAGGTTCCGGGAGCGCTGCCTCGACGCTCACAACGCGCTGCGGGCCCGGGTGTTGCCACCCGCCGCCGACATGAGGCGCTTGGTGAGAGCGGGTCGGCCCGCCTCCCCCGCCCCGACCCCCGTGACCCGCGCCCTGACCTGCCCTGACCCCCCTGACCCGGGCCCGGGGAGCTGCCACCCCCGAGGCTGTCTGGCCGCAGCGCAGGTGCCTTTAAGGGGGGAGGGGGAGACGGGAGGGAGGAAGGGAGGGGGGAGGATGGGGATGGGCGGGAGGGTGACAGTGGGGGATGGAGATAGGAGGGAGGGGCGACCAGGGAGGAGGGGGGACCAGGGAGGAGGGAAATGGCGGGGAAAGGTGGGGGTGGAGGATGGGGATAGGAGGGGGGAGGGGGCCAGGGAGGACGGAGATGGGCGGGAGGGTGGGAGTGGGGAGAATGGGATAGGAGGGAGGGGAGAGGGAGGGTGGAAGGTGGGAAGATGGAGATGGGAGGGGGTAGGGAGGGTGGGGGACCAGGGAGGACCCAGATGGGCGGGGAAGGTAGGGGTGGGGGATGGGTATAGGCGGGAGGGGAGGGGGGACTGGGGAGGACGGAGAAGGGCGGGAGGGGGGAAGATGGGGGTGGGAGGAGGGAGGACCGAGATGGGCCCGAGGTGCGAGGTGCGGTGGGGGATGGGGAGGGGTCACAGGGACGGCGATGGGCAGGAGCGTGGGGGCGGGAGAAGGCCGCGTGGCGCTCGCTGGTCTTGGTCCCTGAGGCCCCGGGTCTCCCAGCCCCGCCGAGCGCACCCCTAACAGCACAACCAAAACACCTCCTGTAAAAGGAGTAGCAGGGGAGGGAGAGCTCTCGTCCTTCCCCTGTTGGTGCACCTGATGACCTCCAGGCTGAGCAGCACCACATAGACCCTATTCCTTTTTAAGAAACGTTCCAGGAGGAGGTAATACTGAGACCAATGCTTGAACGACATCAAACTGTGATTTCCATGAGAAATAATGAATATGTGAGATTTAACTCCAAATACTGAAGATGTCTTTTGTAGACTTCCATCCTACAGGCATTAGGACAAAAAGAATACTCCATTGAAAAATGAGCATAAAAAACACTAGATTATTAAAATAATTCGTAGCATTTATAATTTTTAAATAAATGCTTGAGTATAAATTTTATCGCTGGAAATATGCCCCTTGCAGTATATTTTTCTTGCATGTAGATAGGACAGCGTTATAAAATTAGGAACGTGATGTTGACAGCATGCTTATGTGCTGTGCAGATGTAGCTACTCTGTAAAACATCTCTTCTAGGTCTCTTCCTTTCCACCCAACAGAAAATAAAATGGAAATAGTATAAAATCACAATTCAGACACTAAAGGTCAAAACTGCACTATTCTGCTCTGGGGGAAGGACTTTTTGAGGGGGAAGAGGTTTCAAATATGATTCGGAAACACTGGATTAAACAAACCTAAGCTGATCTCCTAAATGCAGAATTGTTAAAATAAGTTAATGTGTAAAATGCACTTTAATCTCCAGTGGGTTAGGGTGGCCGATGACGGGGATTTGCCATACAGTATTTCCTCCATACTTAATTTGAATTTCTTTTTTTAAGGACTATCTTATGTCACTAAATTGCTATTTAAATTATAGACACACCTATTTGTGTGTGTGTTTGTAAATATATACATTCTAGAAATATATGTAAACATCTACACATTCTATACAAACACCTATATATGCTATGTTTTCCCGAAGGAAGCAATAAAAAGATATACCTAATATTCATTTAAATTTAAATAGCTAGCTGAAGGAGAAGGAAGAAAGGAATGGGGTGCAGAAGACATGAATAGAAACAAGTCTTCTTTGCGCTTACCTTATTTTATAGTTTTGAGTTTGTAAACGTGTAGAAGTTTCTGTTATTTTTGCCCTTTACGTTTTCTGGTGCTGTTCATTTCTTCGCTATTTCCACCGGGTATCATTTTACTTCTGCCTAAATGACATTAACATTTCTTACACTTTGGTTTGTTGATTTTAATCCTATCAACTTTTTATATTATAAAAGTCTTTGTTTCTCCTTAATTTTTCTCTGTCACACGGTTCTATTTAACTGTATATTTTTTTCCAGTGGAACTGAGAAATAATCGGCATACTTCACGAGGGCTTGCTCACACAAAAAGGGGTTATTCTTAAAATACAGGGCCAGCCAGGCCCCCTGGGCAGAAAACGCTGTACTGGGATTGTGAGGAGCAACTGATTTTAGACTTTTAAATTGGGGGGGGGGGTGGATAGAGACAAAGGAAGTTTCCAAAAGGATTTGCATATGTTAAAGAAGATTCACGGGATCCTGGAGGGCAAGCTAAGGTTACTTTTTGCCTCTATCTAAGTATTAAGGTTAAAACAGTTGTGACTTCTTTGAGGAATGTTCTACTCGACCTATCTCAAGTATTTGTCATTGGGCTGCAGGTTGTAAGGAAATTTAATTTTATCCACATTTCCTGTGCCATCATTCTCATCAGTCCTGCTGCACTTTTTGGAGAGAACTTATTTATCTTATAACTGGAACCCAAGGAACCGCTAGGAGGTATTGGTCAGGTCTATCACCTGGATTATGGTGATGGTGTCTGGATATTTGCATATGTCCAAATTAATCAAATTGTACACATTAAATACGTAAAGCTCTTTATCAGTGATACCTCAATAAATCTGATTTTTTAAAGCATGATTTTTGTTATTTTTACCATGTCTTATGATCCTTTCAGGAATTTTGAACATTGATGTTTATACTGCTTTTATACTCAGCATCATTCTTGTTGTATCATCCACATGTACCATCAACCCTGCAGTAGCATACCGACGTACCCCGCATCCTCTTGCCCGCAACCCTGTGCACACTATACTGTTTCTTGCCAGAGCACAAGTAGAAGCATCATGATTATTTAAGCATACTTTTGAAAGATAGTGTGGCAACTCTCCATCATATGAAGCTGTTGCAATTCTCTTTGTTTTTAGTTTATATTCTGATGCATTTCTTAGGAGGTTCTCTTAATCCTCCTTGTGCAGAGGAGCTTCAGTGACTGGATGTAATTCATTATGAGGACTTTAGGTCAGAAGAGCTTGCAGGGTATATTCGAGTTTAGGTTACGCAGAGGCCAAGTGCCCCTTCCCCTCCCAGCCAGCGTGGTATCAGAAGAGGACAATCATGCAATCCGGACTTTTACTACTACCACCCACCAGTAATGAAGTGGCCCTCATAGCAACCTCCCATGGTGTCAGCAGAGACCATGTCAGGACTCCCAGTCCCACAAAACCGAGGTACCCCTTCCTCTCCTGTGGTATTGGCAGAGGCCAAGTAGGGAGCTTGGATTTTCATCCCTTGATAAAAAGGCGACCCTTACTTTCCCAGTGGGATGATGACGTCAGCCAAAGCAAAAGAGGAACCTGGATGTCTATCTCCTCCCAGTGGAACTAGTTATCCTTCCCACAGGGATAGTAAGAGTGGGAAGCCTAGACTTTCACCCACCAATCAAGTGATAAAGAAGCTGTGTCTCCTTTCCCCCATTAGAACAGTATTAGTGAAATCCTCCTTAAATACAAGGATTAAATAAAATCTAGAGTCTCATAATGTAAAACTCAAAATGTCAAACATACAAGTAAAAAAAAAATCACTCATCCTACCAAAAACCAGAAAAATCTCCACATCAATGAGAAAACACAACAGATGCCAATGCCCAGATGACACAGATATTAGAATTACCTGACAAAAGTTTTAAAGGACTCATCATAAAATGCTTCAAAGAGCAATTATAAAAATGTTTAAAACAAATGAAAAACAGAAAGTTTCAGGAAAGAAATGGAAGCTATAAAGAATATTTAAATGGACAGTTTACACCTGGAAAATGTAATAACAATTCACTGGATGGAGACAACTGACTGGCTCATTCAGTAGAGCATGAGATTTTTAATCTTGGAGTCATGCGTTTGAGCCCCATGTTGGGTGTAGAGATTTTTTTTTTATTATTTTTTTAGAAATTACTTTAAAAAATAAAAAAAAAAATTAAAAAAAACCTCACTGGATGGGCTCAGTAGCTGAGTGAATATGACAAAAGAAAAAATTAGTAAACTTGAAAATTGAATAATAGAAATTACTGAATCTGAGCAGAGAGAAAATGAACCAAAGGAAAAAAGTCAGGGATCTATACAGCAAGAACAAAATATTTATTCATGTCACTGGAGTCCCAGAAGGAATGGAGAAAAATGGGGAGGGGCAGAAAAAATATCCTAAGAAATAGTGGCTGAGAACTTCCAAAATTTGGGTAAAGACATGAAGAACAAATAGTGAAGTCCAAATATGATAAGCCCAGAGAAATTCATGCCAAGGTACATCATAATCAAAATTCAGAAAATGTAAGACAAGGAAAGAAATTTAAAAGCAGTGGGGGAAAAAACCAATGCAATACCTAAGGAAAACAACAATTTCCATTTAAACCCCATCAAAATTTTAAAATTTTGCTCTTTAAAAAACTTGTTAATACATAAAAAGCCAAGCTGTAGACTAGGAGAAAATATACACAAACCACTTACCCCACAAAGAACTGTTGTCTAGAATATATAAAGAACTCTCAAAACTCAATAGTTAAAAAAAAGTCGGTAAGAAAATGAACCAAAGGCTGAAGAAACATTTCACTACAAGGTTACACAAATGGAAAATAAGCACATGAAAACGCTTTCTACACATTAGCCATTAGGGAAATACAAATTAAAACCACAATGTGGTATTACTACACACCAATCAGAAAAACTAAAATAAAAAACAGTGACAGCACCAAATACTGAAGAGGATGTAGAAAAACTACGTGTCATACTCTGCTGGTGGGAATGTAAAACGGAAAATGTTACAGCCACTGGAGAAAATAGGCTCTTTTAGTCTAAAAAAACTATGTGTATATTTACCATATGACCCAACGATTGCCCCCTTGGGGCTCTTTTTCCTTTTCCTCTTTCCCCTGAAAAAGGAAAACTCAACTGCTACATAAAAACCTGATCACATATGTTCATTGCAGCTTAATTTATAATCATCCAAACCTGTAAACATCAAAATTTCTGTGGATAGGTGAAGGCTAAACAAACTGTGGTGTATCTCTTGGGTGGACTACCACTCAGCAATAAGGATTAAACTAGAAGCCCGTGAAACATTAGAGATGGAGCTCAAGGGAAACATGCTGAACAACAACAAAAAGCCAACCTCAAAATGGTTACATGTTGTGACTGTTTATATAACTTTCTTGAGGGCAGCCCGGGTGGCTCAGTGGTTTAGCGTCGCCTTCAGCCCAGGGCGTGATCCTGGAGTCCTGGGATCGAGTCCCACGTCAGGCTCCCTGCATGGAGCCTGCTTCTCCCTCTGCCTGTGTCTCTATCTCATGAATAAATAAAATCTTTTAAAAAAATAAATAAATAACTTTCTTGAAATGACCAAATCATCGAGGTGGTGAACACATTGGTGACCACCAGGAATTAGGGATAGCATGGGCCAGTGTGGGGCCCCTGGTGGCTCAGCGGTTGAGGTCGGCCTTTGGCTCAGGTCATGACCTTGGGGTCCTGGGATCAAGTCCTGCATCGGCCTCCAGGCTCGCTTCTCCCTTTCCCTCTACCTGCCACTTCCTCTGCTTCTTCCCCCACCCCACTGTCAAAAAATAAATAAAATACTAAAAAAAAAAAAATAGTTATGTATCTTGATTGCTGGAGGTAGTTACTTCAATTTACTCGTGATAAAATTGCATAAAACTATACACACATGAACAAATGCATGTAAAACTATTGAAATCTTAAGGTCTGTTGATTGTACCAATGTCAATTTCATTTTGATACTGTTTTTTAGTTACATAAAACACTATCAATGGGGAAACCAGGCAAAGCTCGCACAGGACCTCTACGTACTATATGTTGTAATTTATTGTAGATCTACAATTAAATTAAAATAAAAATATTTTTAAAAAGCATCTTGCCAGGGACTGACTCAGTTGGTAAAACATGTGACTCCGATCTTGGGCTTGTAAGTTCAAGCCCCACATTGGGCATAGAGCTCACTTAAATAAAATCATCTTGCCATTAAAGTTACATTAAGACCTTATCACTTTTGTCAAAAATTGACAATAGACCTTATTCTGTTCCATTGGGATATCTGTCTATCCACGTCTTACAAAAATACCAAGATTATGATGTCTTGGTATCTTCTACAGTAGGTCTTCTGTTTTATTTTATTTTTTAAAGATTTATTTATTTATTCATGAGAGAGAGAGGCAGAGACACAGGCAGAGGGAGAAGCAGCCTCCCTGCTGGGAGCCCACGGGGACTTGATCCCGGGACCCCGGGGTCACGCCCTGGGCCGAAGGCAGGTGCTAAACTGCTGAGCCACCCAGGGATCCCCTTCTGTTTTATTTTTTAACAATTGTCTTAGAATTTGATCTCTGAATTTCCACATAAACTTTGAAATCAATATCTGTAAAAAAAAAAAAAAAAAAGCTACTTGGATTTTCTTTAGAAATTGATTAAATGTCAATAACCAAACATTTACAATATTAAATCTTCCAGTTTATAAACATTTCTTATCTATTTAAGTCCTTACAAATTAATCTTAGTGATGTTTTGTAGTTTTTCAGTATAGAGCTTTTTTATATCATTTATTAGATTTATTTTTATATACTTGTTGCCTTGAAGTTGTTTCTGAAGTATATATGGAAATAGAATGTTGTATATTTTCCTGATACCGGAAACTGAAAATTTCACTTTTTTCCTATAGTTTTGTGTATTCACTGAATTTTCTATGTATCCAGTCTTGTTATCTACAAATAATGAAGATTCCAGTTATTATACATTTTATGTTTTTTTATGTATTTATTATACCATCTAACTTCCTGTATTATTTTAAATAGAAATAATGAGACATCTTGTTTCATTCCCAATTTTGGGGGAAAGCTTTCAATATCTCACCATTATATATTGATGCCTGTTGAAATGTTTTGTTTGTTTTTTGGTTTTGGTAGATACTCTTGATCAAATTAAGGAAATTCTACTGCCAATGGGTTAAGAGGCATTTTCTCTTTTTACTTATAAATGGGTATACATTTTTTTAAAGGTTTTATTTATTTATTCATGAGAGACACAGAGAGAGGCAGAGACCCAGGCAGAGGGGGAAGCAGGCTCCATGCAGGAGCCCAATGCAGGACTCGATCTCAGGACCCCGGGTCACCACCTGAGCTGAAGGCAGACGCTCAACCACTGAGCCACCCAGGTGCCCCCGGGTACTCATTTTTCACTTATGATATATTTGCATGACCTGAATTACTAGACTGTGAACTCTTGCCTTACTTAAATCAAATTCAAGTATATGTGATAAGTGCCTCTACTGTACCAGGACATCTACAAAGTATTGGAAATACAAAGATAAACTGTTACAGAGTAGGTACTAAATGTTTCTTAAGTAGAACTAAAACAAAACAAAACAAAACAAAAAAAAAACAAAAAAAAAACTCACTGTAAACATAATACCAAAAAAAATCTATATTTTATTAAAATAAACAAAATGGATTATAATTATAAGAATAGCTTTAATCCAAGCAAATATGCACAATTCAGTTTACATTATTTTATCTTTCAGAGTTGGGACGATGGTTTAGCGAAGACTGCTAAAGCGTGGGCAAACACGTGTAGATTCGAACACAATTCCTGTTTATCAAAATCATATGAATGCCATCCAACTTTTCAATATATTGGAGAAAATATCTGGTTAGGTGGATTAAGCATATTTTCACCAAAATCCGCTGTTGATGCTTGGTTTAATGAAACTGAATATTATGATTATGATACCCTATCATGTACCAAAGTTTGTGGCCATTATACACAGGTAAATTTTTGACATTTTATTTATTTATGCATATTTCAATCAAAAGATAACTTTTCTAGCATTTTCTTGTGAGTTTGAGTATCTAAAAAGGACACCTTCATTTGGAAGACATTTATACTGGGAATAGAATTCTATGTACTGGAATTTTTTAAATTTCCTTTGTTTGTCTTATTCTTCTGGACTTTAAAAATCTTACTTCACTGTCATCTCATTGCACTGTTTCCAAAAAAAGTCTACTCTAACCTTTTCTTTATGTACTTTATGTATCTCTTTGCTCTTTTACAATTCTTCCTTTATCACAAGTCTCAAGCAATTTCATAATTGCTCAAGCAACTTCAAGTCATTACTTGAAGTTTTTCCACAGTTGACTGATGTTCTCTTCTCTTTGTTCCTGATTTTTTTCTTCTGTGATTAATTTCAGAAAGTTTTATCGCTTTATGTTTAAGTTCACTAATCTTTTCCTCTTTTTGTTCATAAATGACTATATCTAATATCTTTAATCTTTCACTTAGTTTTTTAATTGTATCTATGCAAATCAAGACTCTTGTGCATACTCTACCAATGCCCCAGAAATTGGTATTTTCCAGTGTGGCTAGTAGGAACAGTCTCTACTCCTGGCCCTGTGTAAGTTTTAAGCATCCTTTCCTCTAGTTTTTATAGGTGGTTCTTTCCCAGGCCTAGGGTAGTTTCTTCGCTTACGTGCTGATTAATGCTCTGCTGAATTGGTAATGAGGATTCCCCGCTGATCTCCACAGTTGTATCACTGTAAGGTTCTCACCTCTCCAGGACTATATTATCTAAACTCCTGCTTCCTTGGTCTCCTCAGACAGTCAGCTTTGCTGCTCAGCTGTGTGCATCCATCAAGCTTTTACTGGCTTCCCAAATCCCAACCCCCTAGCCATGGCCTGGAAACTCTCTCAAAGCAATAATCTGGAACAAATGTACAGCCTGAGTCCTTTCCCCTCAATTCACAGGGGGCATTATCCTTTTCAAGATACTGATTGTCCCATACCTACTTTCTCATTATTTTCCTAGTATTCTGGATATTTCAGTGGGAATTTTTGGTGAAAAGTAGAAGTCATTTTTAAGCTAAACCAATTCTAAAAATGGCACTGAACTCCTAGGAAGCCCCATTTAAGCAGTAACAGGGATAACTTTCTTCTCCAAATTTACTTATCTGTATAAGATGTAATAGTATATAGTGACATAAAGCAAGTCATTTTTATCAGAGGAGCACCAAACAAATTGTCCGGAAAGGATGCAACATCCCTAACATGGCATGAAGACTAACTCACAGCCTTTATGTAATCCTTTGTCTCTCTCTCTGTTTCAAGTCAAAAGGAACCTGTTCCAAATACCCTTCTCCCCTATCATTGCTACATCAGAATTGGAAGCTCATTCCCCACTGGCTTATTTCCACATATGCTTAAATAATTAGGAATGGTTGCATCCTTCCAATTTACTCAGCAACTATATCTTGCTTATTAATGTTCTAAGCAAAATGAGCTAAAAATTTCCTACATTAAGTCTCTGCAGATATTCATACTGAAGTTACAACAGATGTTCATATTGTCACATCTAATCCCTTTAATGAAAACAATACATTTTAAATCTACACATGGTCAATATTTACTTTTATCATTCCCAAAGCCAAACAGAATCATGACTTAAATACATTAACCAAGTAGAATTTCATGGAGTAGCCACATATTCATGAACTAAATTCTTAAACATGATTTCTTGCATATATACTTGCATTTGTATGGTTATTAACTTTTTGGAACATTCAAAAGGAAAAGGATTGTTTAAGGATCAAGCTTAATCTCATTTTATTAAATAGGAAACTAGCTCAGAATTGATGTCAGTCTCCAAAGCCACACATATGGTTAGAAGCAAAATCTCTTACTTCTCTCTTACTCTTCTCTCATCCCTTACTATTACTAAAGAAATAGTAATCTTCTTCACTTTTTTCTCTCTCTCTCCATGTCTAGTTTTCCATAGAAGTCATCTTCCTTTTGAATAAACTTTGCTTATTCTTAGCAAGTAGACAAAAATAAAGATTCACCATCTCTGTGGCAGGCATCTTTTGCAGAAGACTCATTATATTCTTAATTTCTATCCTTATCTGTCTCTTGTGACTTGACAAAGAATATGGTTAAGACCACAATATTTAAAATGTGACCACAAATGAAGTAAAATTTTTCTGAGAAAAAGAAATAAAAGTTTATTATTGTTTTCATTTATAGTTTCATTTTAATATCATTTTTATAATATCCACATGGAGTCAATTTTAATATATTTCATAAGTCATCTAGAAAAAATTTAGCTTTGTCTTTACATTATATTCTCCTTTTAACTTATGAGCATTAACAGTGAGGAAAACTAGTTAGATAGCCCTCAGGGAAGTAGCCTTAACAAAATAATTGTTTTAAAGTCAATACTAAAAATTAATAAAGAGAGTATATAGCCATGTGCGTTCATCTTTGGCAGCATAACAAAGATTATTGCTCCTACAATGCGCTGTTTGCATGAAGTTGTTTTGCATATTTTATTTTTAAATTCCTTTCTTTATAGGTAGTTTGGGCCAATTCATATAAAGTTGGTTGTGCAGTGACAATGTGTCCTAAACTTGGAGGATATGAAACTGTAATATTTGTATGCAACTATGGACCTGCGTAAGTTATTCTGCTATTAAAAGTATTTTAAATTAAAATATGTTAAGAATTGTTCCTAAAACAGAACTATATACTAAAGAGGCAAGTATATTTTTAATACGTGAAGTCTCCCTCTATAGCGCTACTCAAAATAAATATATTAAAATAGAAGGTGGTGAAAGAATATTACCTTATGTAAAAACCTATATCTGTTATGAAATATTTAATCTTGAGAATAAAAACTATGGGAACTTTAAGTTTTTTAAGAAGAATGTAAAAATACATTGCCACAGTAATATCTGAATACTTGGAATACAAAATAGGTTTTGGCAGATGCTTCTCTACTATAACAACTGGGATGAGTAAATGATTGGGAATGGAAGTGAAATGCACATTCTCCAAAGAAAAGAATACCATCATTTTTAATTGCCTTGCTGATAATTGCATATCTAAATGGACAAATAACATTAGCCTAATGAGAGTGCCCAAAAATGAAATTCTGGAACTCTAATCCCAATAGATCTGTACAAGGAAGAAGATAAAAATCAGTTAATAGTCCAACTCTTTTAACAACCAATTTTTTTTTGAAATGTACAAAAAATGAAAACATAGGCAAAGAATAAATATACATAATTTGCATAAAGGATCAGAGATATGCCAAAATTGCAACAGAGAAGTACAAATGTGTGTATCTCTGTAATTACTTTGGTTACCTCTCAGAAGCAAAAACAAGAATGACAGATACATAGCCTTAAAACCTAGGGCAGAGTGCAGTTTTTATAAATACCAGAGAAATTGTAGAACTACTGAACACTTATAAATTAATTTATTTATTTATTTATTTATTTATTTATTTATTTTTAGTGTTTTTTTTATCATTATTTATTTATGATAGTCACACACACAGAGAGAGAGAGAGAGAGAGAGAGAGAGAGAGAGAGGCAGAGACACAGGCAGAGGGAGAAGCAGGCTCCACGCACCGGGAGCCCGACGTGGGACTCGATCCCGGGTCTCCAGGATCACGCCCTGGGCCAAAGGCAGGTGCCAAACCGCTGCGCCACCCAGGGATCCCCCTATAAATTATTTATTTTTATAGAATATCTAGAGAAAAAAAGAATCTGAAAAAGATTTTTTTAAAAAAGCATCATTAATCTGTGAGATAATTTTAGGGAGAACTGATTTCCTAAAAAGAGGACTGGGACAGAAAAATATTTTAAGAAATATGGTCCAAAACTCTCCAAGCTTAAGGAAAATTATAAATTCACAGAAGCAAGATGGCTAATAAATTCCAAGTTACAAGAAACATGAAGAAAACTATACTAACCCACTTTATAATAAGAAATTTCAAAACCAGTAATAAAGAGAAAATCTTAAAAGCAACCAGAGAACTAAGACATGTTACATACAGAGGGACAAAGATAAGGATGACAGGAGATTTCTTAGTGGAAATTAAAAGTGAAAAAAAGATTTTTTTCAAACTACCAGCAATGGTAACTACATGGGTAAGATATAGGATGTTCTCCTTATTATTTAATCCTCTTTCAAGGAGAATTGTTTAATCAAAGATAATAGCAATGCATTGTATGAGTCACAACTACATAAATTAATACGTGATAACTACAGCATAAAGGCTAAAAGAGAAAAATCTATTAAAGTTCTTCCACTCTGTTAAGTGCAATAATTTAACTTGACTGTAATAAGTAAAAGATGCATACTACAAACTCTAACACTTAAATAAGAAAACAGTTATAGCAAAGGAACCAACAAAGCAGGTAAAATTAGATTTTCAAAAATATTCAATATTCAACCCAAAGAAAGACAGAAAAAGAGGAAAAGGGGAACAAAGAACAGATGAGATGAAGAAAATAAATAAGATGATAGCTTCACGGGATTCCCTGGGTGGCTCAGTGGTTTTAGCATCTGCCTTCAGCCCAGGGCATGATCCTGGAGTCCAAGGATCCAGTCCCACATCAGGCTCCCTGCATGGAGCCTGCTTCTCCCTCTGCCTGTGTCTCTGCCTCTCTCTCTGTGTCTCTCATGAATAAATAAATAAAATCCATTGCATTTCTATATACTAATAATGAAGTAACAGAAAGAGAAATTAATATTTCTAACATAGTATATAGAAATTAACATTTACAACAATCCCATTTAGAGTTCTAGCCGAACTGGAAACTTTATTATCATTTACAATGATATGCATTTTCTGGGCTTTCCTGTGTTACTAAACATTTTTGACTAAAACATAATGAAAAGTGTATAGTACACAGAAATGAACATTTACAACAATCCCATATAGAGTTGCACCAAAAATAATAAGGGGCAACCTGAGTGGCTCAGTCAGTCAAGTGTCTGACTCTTGATCTCAGCTAGGGTCATATTCTCAGGGTCATGAGTTCAACCCTGTGTTGGGCTTAAAAATAATAAATAAATAAATAAATAAATAAATAAATAAATAAATAAATAAATAAATAAATAAATAAAAAAATACCTAGGAACAAACTTAACTAAGGAGGTGAAAGACTGTAATATATTGATGAAAGAAACTGAAGACAACACAAAGAAATGGAAAGATATTCCATTTCATGGATTGAAAGAATAAATATTGCTAAAGTGTCTATACTACCCAAATCAATCTACAGATTTAAGGCGGTCACTATCAAAATACCAACAGAACTAGAACAAATAACCCTAAAGTTTTTATGGAATGACAAGACCTCAAATAGCCAAGGCAATCTTGAAAAAGAGGAACAAAACTGGAAGTATCACAATCCCAGATTTTAAGATCTACTACCAATCTGTAGTCATCAAAACAGTACAGTACTGGCACAAAAACAGACACATAGGTCAGTAGAACAGAATAGGGAGCCCAAAAATAAACCCACAATTATATGGCCAATTAATCTTTGACAAAGAAGCAAAAATATGCAATGGGGAAAAGACAGTGTCTTCAACAAATGGTGCTGGGAAAACTGGACAGCAACATGTAAAAGAATGAAACTGGACTTCTTTTTTACACCATGCACAAAAATAAACTCAAAATGAATTAAGGACCTAAATGTAAGTCCTGAAACCATAAAAATCATAGAAGGGAGAACAGGCAGTAATTTTCCTGACATCAGTCATAGCACCATTGTTCTAGATATGTTTCCTAAGGCAAGCAAAAATAAAAATAAACTATTGGGACTATATAAAAATAAGAAGCTTCAGCACAGTCAAGGAAACAAAGAACAAAACTAAAAGGCAATCTACTGAATGGGAGAAGCTATTTTGCAAATGACATGTCTAATAAAGGATTACTATCCAAAGATAGTAAAATAAACTATCAACTAATACAACTGATAGTTGTATAAAGAACTTATACAACTCAACACATACAAAAACACAAATAATCCAACTAAAATGGGCCAAAGACAGGCATTTCTCCAAAGAAGACATACATGTGGCCAACAGATACGTGAAAGATCAACATCACATCATCAGAGAAATACAAATCAAAACCACGAGATATCACCTGACACGTGTCAGAATGACTAAAATAAAAAACTCACGAAGCAGCAAGTATTGGTTAGGATGTGGAGAAAAAGGAACCCTCACGCACTGTTGGTAGGAGTGCAAGCTGGTGTAGCCACTGCAGAAAACATTACGGAGGTTATTCAAAAAATTAAAAATAGAATTACCATATGATCCAGTAATTCCACTATTAGGTCTTTACCCAAAGAATATGTAAACACTAATTTGAAGATACATGCACTCTTCTGTTTATTGCAGCTTTATTTACCATAGCCAAATTATGGAAACAACCCAAGTGTCCATCGATTGGTGGATGGATAAAGTAGTATGTATATACAATGGAATTTTACTCAGCCATTATAAAGAATGGAATCTTGCCATTTGCAACAACATAGATGGAGCTAGAGAATATAATGTTAAATGAAAGAAGAGAAAGACAAATATCATTTCACTCATACGTGGACTCTAAGAAACAAAACAAATGAACAAATTAAAAAGGAAACAAAATCAAAAAACAGACATTTAACTATGGAGAACAAACTGATGGTTACCAGAGGAGAGGTAGGTGGGGAAATGGATGAAATAGGTGACAGGGATTAAAGAGTACACAACTATGATAAGTACTGAATAATGTACAGAATTATTGAATCACTATTCTGTACACCTGAAACTAATATAACACTGTGTGTTAACTCTACTGGAATTTAAATAAGCAAATAAATAAACAAACAAACAGAAGTAGATTAAAAGTACAAGAATGGAAAAAGTTTTATTATTATGCTTACATTAGTCAAAAGAAAGCAACAGGGTCTACACTAAAAACAGATAATGTTTTAGAGCAAAGAATAATACTAGAAATAAATAAGCCCATTTTAAAACAACAATGAGGTTGGGGGCGCATGAGTCGCTTGGTCACTTAAGCCTCTGGCTCTTGATTTTGGCTCAGGTTATAATCCCAGGGCCACGAGGTTGAGACCAGCATCAGGGTCCACACTGAGCATGGAGCCTGCTTAAGATTCTCTCTCTCCCTCTCTCTCTGCCTCTCCCCAACTACTCCCACATGGACTCATGTGTGCTTTCTCTCTCTCTTTCAAAAAAAAAAAAAAAATGACAGTGGGGTTAATCAATTAAGAAGCAACTGGATGAAATGGAAACATTCCTTCAAGAACACAAATTGCAAAGGGTAAACGAAATAAACAAAAACCACAGAACAATATCTACTGTTAATACAGGCACAAAAATTTAGCATGGAATCCATCAATACAGTAAAAGCCTAATTAATACTCCTTGTCCAAATGAAGTTTATTCCAGGAACATAGAAGTGGTTTAACATTGTAAATACATCAATCAATGTAATTCACCATATTAATCAACCTAAAAATAAAGAACACATGATTATCTCAATAGATTGAGAAAAAGCCAGACATCCATTCCTGGTAAAAGCTCTCAGCAAACTGGAAATAGAAGGGAACTTCCTAAACCTAATAAGGGCATCTGCGAAAAACCTATATGTAATATTATTACAATAGCAAAAACATTTTCTGTAAAATAATAGAATAAATATATTAGGTTTTGCATACCATATATATTGTTACCTTCGTCTTTGTTTCTTTTTTTTTAAGAACTCATTAAAAAATAATAATTCTTTGTGTGCAAATTGTATAAAAACAGATCATACTTTGCTGACTTCTGGTCTATATAAAAAAAGTGCAATGAAATCTATGAAAATTCTTCTGAAACTAGTAAGTAAACTTGGTAACTGTTCAGGATACAAGATCAATATACAAAACTCGATTACAGGTCCAAATACCACCAGTAAATAATCAAATTAAATTAAAATAATAATCATTCTATTATTTTATAACAACACTTATAACAACATCAAAAAACATAAATTATCGGGAATAAATCTGGTAGAAGACATAAAAGACCTCTCCACTGAAAACTACACAATATTCATGACAGAAATTAACAAAGATACAAATAATTGGATAGATTATAACTTGTAATGGATTAAAAGACTCAAGATGTAATTTTCACTGAATTGATCTATAGATTCAATATAATCCTAATAAAACATTCCAGATTTTTATTGTAGAAATTGACAAACTGATCATAAAATTCATATGAAAATGCAAAGGACTCTTAATAGCCAAATCAACTCTGAAAAAAATTTGAAGAGCTAACAATATTTTTTTAAGATATTAATTTATATATTTATTTGTTTGAGAGAGAGAGAGAGAACAGGGGAAGAAGCAGAGGGAGAGGGAGAAGCCTACTCCCGGGTGAGGCCCAATCCCAGGGCCCTGAGATCATGACTTGAGCCAAAGGCAGACGCTTAACCAACTGAGCCACCCCCCGGAAGACCTAACATTATTGTTTTCAAGAATTATGAAAGCTAGAATAATCACAACAATTGATGTAAAGTTAAACAAATAGATCAGTGGAACAGAATGTGGAGTCCAAAAATAAACCCATACACAGTGATCTACGTATGTCCAACTAATTTTCTAAAAATGCACAAAGGCAATGCAGTGGAAAAAAAAAGATTTTTTAATAAGTGGTGCTGTTTGTCATTCATATATAAAAAACAAAAGTAAACTCAGATCTATACAACACACAACCTATAATAATTAACTCAAAATGAATCATAAACCTAAATGTAAACACCAAACTGTAAAACTGTTGGAAGAAAACACAGACGAAACCTTTGTGACCTGAAAATAGCCAAAGATTTTTTTTAGCTACCATGATCCATAAAAGAACAAATGGATAAGTTGGATTCCATTAAAATTTAAAATCAATGCTATTCAAAGACCCTGGTAAGAGAATGAAAAGACACGCCACGGGCAGGAAGAGTCTTCTTCATAGCTAATATATTAGAAGACTCTTTCTCAAAAATAAGCCATATGGCAATACAGGAGAATACAGGATGAACTCTCACAATTCAGTATTAGAAAAACTTAAAACTCAATTGTTTTTAGATGGATAAAAGATTAACAAAGAAGACATGCAGATGGCAAGTTAGCACATGAAAAAATGCTCAACGTCATTAATCATTAGAGAAACATAAATTAAAACCACAATAAATACCACTACGCAATTAGAATGGCCAAAGACTGGCCAATCCGAATCCTGACAAGGAAGTAAAGTAACTCGAATTCTCAACACTGATGGTAGAAATATAAAGTATTACAACTACTTTGTAAAACCTGTGTGGTAGTTACAAATATGTACCTACCAGATGATCTGTTCATTTCTTTTATCCAAGGAAATGTATATGAATGTTCAAAATGTGCACAGTAACTTTATTTGAAATAACCCCAACGTCCATCAACAAATGAATAGATAAATCATTGTGGCATATTTTTTAATGGAATACTACTTATATTACTAACGTTTTTCTTTGTGTACTCTAGGTAAGTAACACTTTTTTAAGTTTCCACAGATACAGAGATGGGGGTAAACAGGTTTGTTAAAATGCATCAACTTATTTTATTGAGAAGCAGGCATAATAGCTGCGAAACCTTTTTGATACATCACCAAATAGAACTAGATAAGAACCTTGGTGTTGAAATAAAGCCTATGTTTCCACCTGCAATTTAAATTTTATTTATTGTATTTACCAAATCAAGAGATAATCATAGTGTTTACAGCAAAAGCTCTGTGGCTGTCAGCCTGCATAATTACCCTGGGTTCACATCTAATTTGTATTCTATAGAATATTCAAGAGCATAACTGCCATGTGGATTAGGGACATCTTGTAAACAGTTTTAACGGTTTCTTTTCACAAAAGAAAGGAGCATAAAATTAGAACAAAAGTCGTTATTCATGAGTGAGTGACCAAAACAATTTGCATAATTTCATGCACAAAATTAGAGATATTAATAGCCATGTGGCTAATCAAAGATTCTTTTCTTACAGAGGAAATTATCCGAATAGGCCCCCTTACACTAGAGGAGTACCCTGCTCTTTGTGTACCGAAGAAGAAACTTGCACAAACAATCTCTGCCGTAAGCAAAAAAGAAAAAAAAAATTATCACGACATTCTATTTAGAGGGCAATTTCCATAAATTTTAAATATTTAATATTTAATATTTTAAAATTCGGATCATCAAGTGTTTAAGGAATTATTGACAATATTTGATTGCTGCTATATGATGATATAAATCATTTGTCATAAATTATCATATTTAAACTCAGATTGTCCCCCCCTTCTTCACTGATTATTTTTCCTCTCCAGCTAAAGAACAGAAATAATGTACAACCATGACCTAGTTTGCTATTATACTCAAAGTAACTGTTCATTGAAACATTTCTTATTTGTATTTGCTTCCAATCACCTCCACTTATTAGTTTTTATCAAAATATTTCATGCAGAAGTAATACATTCATCAACGTGCAAATTAATTGTGATTTAAAGCTAATATGTTTCCCTTCCATTATCAGTCTTTTGGTTCTCAGAACAGACTTTTTTAAAGGTAAGTGAATAAATTTTTGATTAGAAAAGAATTTTCAGTGAAATAGATGAAGAGAGGAGATGATGTGAAAAATTGTAAAAAAAAAAAAAAAAAGATTTGGTGCCATGAAAGAGGACAGACACAAAATGAATGCATGATAAATGATTTCATTTATATAAGGTTCAAATATCATGCAAAACTAATTTGTGTTTGGAGTCGGGCTAGTGGTTACTTTTAGAGAGCAGAGGAGTTCGTCAAATAGGAAAGGACACCGGGACCTTCTAGATCTGTGCTACTTTTTCCTACATGTGTTCACTTTGCTTTTTTGTTTTGTTTTGTTTTGTTTTTTTCATGTGTTTACTTTGTAATAATTCATCAGTCTTTCCATTTACAAGGCATGCATACTTCCATATTCATATTATACTTCAGTTACACAATGAATTAGAAGTATGGTCCAATTTTAATTTTCATTCAAAGCAGTTTAAAAAATAAATTCATTGTATATCTCCAGTCTGCAAACTAAATGTTTTCTAGTTAAAGGGTCATACAAATAACAATGGTAGACTTTATTTTCTCAACTTCCCCTTCCCGCCCCTGTCATTTCTCACCTGAGCCAGTAATCTCCCACTTCTCTTCCTCCTCCAAACTGTTTTATAAAAGGAAAATCCAGGTCAAATCCTTTTCTTTCAATTCCTCAATTGCTTCTTACTCCAATTAAAGGAAAAATAAGGCCCTATTTCCAGGCCAGTAAGCCCAGGTATGGCCAGTGTGACTTCTACTTCTCTCCGCTACCACTCCCTTTGACACACTGAGCTCCATGATCACCAGCCTTAACACTCCGACGTCCTCCCAAAATCCCCAGCATCTCGGTCACCTCTGGGTCTGTTCCTGGTTTCAAGATTGTTTTGTTTCCTCTTGGTTTTGGTAACCTGTGGTGGTTCTGGGTGTGGTGAATGATCTTCAAAGCCGGCATTAATGAGTCCTCCCCTCCTTCACACATATGCTGCTCCTCCCAAAACTGTGGACACTATTTCCATGCTCTTGAACGAGGCCTTGATGCTGGGCCCATCCCGGCCTCTGCTTTGCTAGCTCCGCAGCTGCGCTCTTGCTCGGTTGGGAACCCCAGAATTCCAGGCCCAGGGTCTCCTGCTGAAGAGGTTGCTGGAGAAAGGCCTCTCCGGAGCTCATCCCTGCTTCAACCCCAACCGAGCTCCCGCTGCATGCGACTGCCACTGAGTCCCGATGACACGCAGAGCGACTGTCTAGTAGAGGCAGCCAATCCAGCTCACTGCAATAACACTAACAGTTCTTGTGTTAAGCCTTGCACGTCGCCCAAACACGTGGTGTGTGCTAGTGAGTTTCTATCAAACATCTTAACATGCAGAGAACAAAAATGCAGAGTCCTGGCTTTTCCTGCTGAGCAGCTAGGGTCAGGGCTGCTGTTCACCTTGATCCAAACGCAGCTTCGTCAACAGTGGATTAGGACTCGTGCAAGACATGTCCGCCTCTGTCTCTGTTCCAAGGGCTCAGACTCCAGGGCTTTCCACTGAGAAACTTGGGCGTTCCCCATTGCCTTTCCAAAATGGGTTCTGAATTCTAATCATTATAGGTTCAGCACTCTGAAATTACTGGGAAAAAAATCTGCTTTGCTTTCCAGAAGCCTTCAGCGTTCCTCACAGCTTCAAAATCAAACAAATACTTTGAGTACAAAATGGCCATCAGGTGGGCTCCTTCCACCACCTTGACTTTTTACCAGGATCTTGAAATGCTCAATTCCCCAATTTTCTCTCTCTAGTCCTACAGGGCCAACAAAAGCTCCGATGGTTTCTGTTTCCCAAAAATCAGCCCCTGCCTGAGCAAAGCCCAGATTTTCAGTCCCAGACCTGGGCCCAAGATGAACAAATGGCTCCAGGGAAAAAACAGCTTTCCTAACCGCAGCCCATTCTCTGTGGCTCCCCAGCTCTTAAGTCCTGGCCCTTCGGTCTTTGTCGCCCTAGCAAATCTCGGAGGCCCTAAACATTGTTTTGTTTTACTTTGTCTGGATTTTCTAGTTTTATTTAATGAGGACTTTGTCCGTCATGAGCTTCTCCACCCCAAGATTCAAACAGTTATCACCGCGGGTCTCCAAGGCCGTGTGCAAGCGGCAAAGGCTGCAATAAGCTTTGCTACCTGACCGCTGTTCTCCCAACTTGTTTCTTTTCTAAATTGTTCAGAAATTACCTGGCTCTTCATCGACCTTTGCTCTTGCAAATTAACATTAGGATAAGCTTATTAATTCATAGAAGACTGTGGAATTTTGGTTGGGATTACACTGAATCTATACATAAACTTGGAAAGAATTAACATCTTTGCTCTGGTATGTTCCACTTAATTAAATCCTATGACTTTCGATTTGTGTGTTTTTTTATGTTGATTATTGTTTATATAAAGCCAATTTTTAGTTTTGTTGACTTACTTTTTGAGAGATGAGAGCAAATTAATGATAGATTTCCTCCCCCTACTTTTCTGTAAGGAAGCTCTATTTTCTCCTGATATCTATTTACCGGAAGCCTAGAATTATGTTCAATACAGAGTACAACACTCAAAAAGGGCATAAATGAATGAGAGAAGTTAAACAAATGAATTCCTAACAAACGGCAGGATCGTGCTAAATAGAGGTGAAAAAAATTGATGAGGGAAGGATACAGAGCAAAATTTGGAGCAGGAGCCACACCAGAGATGCATGAGATACGAGTCCCAGAGTCGACACGAGGCAATACGTCGTCTTTCAGGGAATTTAAGCAGGATAGCACGGGGCCACTGCAACGTTAACTACCTCGTATAGTTCTGTCAACTTTAGGCTTTTTCACCTTTAGCATAAAAGCTGCCTTAGGAATACCTGGTGACGTGACTTCGTTGGCAGGGGCACTGGACAGATCATTAAGCCGCTGTGGGATTTGGGGAGGAAGCTTTCATTTTCTTAAGTTAAACCAAGTTTAAAGCCAAACTAAGTTTCCTAAGTTTATTATCTTATTTAGAAGGCCAGAAAAGCAAGCGAATGCCTTTAATTCTATAATTTTTTTGTCTACCTTAGGAAATAAAAAACTTGAAAAATCTGAAAGTAAGTGTCAAACTATCTCAATATTGATTCAATTACTTCCTCCCCTTGTAACTTTGTGGAGCTTCTAACTGTTGTGTTTTATCGTCAGAATATCCAGATTGGAATCCACAGGGGACGGCGCCTCAGCACATATCATGTAATCCACTGTGCCTAGTTTTGGTTCTTCTGAGACTATTTTAATTACCATTTACATACAGAAAAGTTCTAAGGCATGACAATAAACAAATAGTTTATTGCTAAACATAACTCTCATCGGTTTAATTCTTAAAGCTTCTACACTCTGGTCTATTATTAAATTTAATATCTGATTTTAACAAAAGGTGTATTATAGTACAGGAGGATAGCAGTAAAAAAAAAGGAAAAAAAATTAAGGTCTGTTTTCTCTTTTTAACTATAATTTTACATTGTATCAAGAGTCTCACACTCAGGGTCCCAGGGTGGCTCAGCCGGTTAAGGTTAAGCTCAGGCCTTGGCTCGGTGGTGATCCCAGGGCCTGGGCCGGAGCCCTGAACGGGTCCCTGCTGAGGGCCCTGGGCTGCTGCTTCTCCCATGCCCGCTGCTCCCCTGCTTGTGCGCACTCTCTCTCTCCCTCTCTGTCAAATAAATAAATAAAATGTCAAAAAAAAATAGAGTCTCATTCTCTAATTTTCTAGATTGATATTTTAGTTACAGTAGACATAAAGAACATTTCAGATACTGGATATTTTCCTTCTATGCCACAGGTTCCTTTATGGAAACCATCAACATTATTCAGAGGTAAAATGTTATTATTAAGGAAAGTTTCGGATATCATCTAATGTCATGTCAACAGTTGGGGAAATGGATGGGAACAGATTAAACCAAAAGGGAAATCAATTAAATTTTAAACCTTTGAAAGGTAAATGTATGCTCTTTTAGGAGATTTTTTTTTTCTTCTTTCCTTAAAGACCTCACTCATTTATTCATGAGAGAGAGAGAGAGAGAAGGAGGGAGAAACAGGCTCCATGCAGGGAACCCGACGTGGAACTCGATCCCGGGTCTCCAGGATCACACCCTGGGCCGAGGCAGGTGCTAAACCACTGAGCCACACAGGCGTCCCCTCTATTAGGAAATTTTATTTTAAAATATGCTGTGTATGAAATAACAGGATACAGATGGTATGACTTTTAAAACCTATACAACTGTAGTATAGTCAACAACACCTCTACAAACCAGAGAGCCAGCCAATTCTGGCATTTCTTTCATCTGAAGACAAAAAACAAAAACCCACATTATTCAATTCAGTTTTAACAATCAGTTATGTTGAATTGTTGACTTCCATGGGCTAAACTACGTAGATCTCTTGCTTCTCAACTAAAATAATCACCAACTTCCTCAGCTATAAATATTAAAAACCATTTTAAAATGTACTTTTTAAAGATTTTATTTATTTAGTCATGACAGCTACAGAGAGAGAGGTAGAGACGCAGGCAGAGAGAGAAGCAGGCTCCATACAGGGAGCCTGACATGGGACTCGACCCTGGGTCTCCAGGATCAGGCCCTGGGGTGAAGGTGGTGCTAAACCACTGAGCCACTCGGGCTGCCCTTAAAATGTATTTTTAAACAGAGTTTTTTTTTATAAGAGAGAGAGCAAACAGGGGAGGGGCAGAGGGAGAGAATCTTAAGCAGGCTCCATGCTCAGCACAGGGTCTGACGCAGGGCTTGATCTCATGACCCTGAGTAGGGACAAGAGTCGGACACTTAAGTGATGGAGCCCCCCAGGTGCCCCTAAATGTATTTTTTCATGAATAAGAGTTGTTTTGTTTATATTGCCAAATACCTAAGAATGTCCACAATAGCTGGATGATTGTTGCTATTCTTTAAAAAAAAAAAAAAAAAAGCCAAGTGATTTTATATTTCAAATCTGTTTGTATAAGTCAGGATTCTCCAGAAAAGCACCAACAAAAAGAGAGACACAGACAGAGACAGAGAGAGAGGAGGTTTTAAGGAACTCGCTCACACAGTTGTAAGCTGGCAAGTCTGCATCTGGCTGCATCTGGTAGAGATTCAAGTAAGAATTGCTGTTGCAGCCTTGAGTTTGCAGTCTTGGAAATGAGGTGGCATTTCTATTTTGCAATCGGATTTCCTTCTTCAGGAAATGGCAGTCTTTGCTCCAAATGCCTTCAACTGATTAGATGCAGCCCACCCGTATTATGGAGGGCAATCTGCCTTGAAGTCAACTGATGGTAAATTTAACAATATCTAAACACCTTCACAGCAAAAGCTAGATTAGTGTTTCATCAAACACTTGCCACCATAGTCTAGCTACAGTGACGCATAAAATTAACCATCACACTATGTGCCGTCATGTATGTGAAACTGTTATATTTTTAGTAAACTATTGCTATTTAACTATTGCACTGTAAAAATTCAAATCCAGGGATTCCTGGGTGGCACAGCAGTTTAGTGCATGCCTTTGGCCCAGGGCGCGATCCTGGAGACCAGGGATCGAATCCCACGTCGGGCTCCCTGCATGGAGCCTGCTTCTCCCTCTGCCTATGTCTCTGCCTCTCTCTCTCTCTCTCTCTCTCTCTCTATCATGAATAAATAAATAAAATATTTAAAAAAAATCAAATCCATAATTCATTACTCCTTAGCTTGCAGTTTGAAACAGGCTAAAGGTAAACTGACACATATACATACACTTTGTATTTTTTACTATTGTGTTGTCTTCACAAGATTTTTTTAAATCACACTTTTTCATGAATAATTAAAATATCCTGATTTTTAATATAATCACCTCCTTATCTTCTTCAGACACCTTATTCATCCAAAAGCATGTTTCCTTAAATCAGATTAACTTAAATTCTACAGAACACATAAAAATTGAATTTTTATAGGATTCTATCCTCTGATTTTGAAGAAATATTTCTCAGCATTTTAAATCGGCACTACTGTGGGAACTCGTACGTAGTTGTAGTTCTCAGAAAAGGGGGTCTCTATTTGCAGAATTCTCTCTGCTGAAGTTGTGAACGGAGGCTAGGTGGGTGAAGTGCCTGCCTCGGCCTTATTTTGTAGGGTCCCCTCATTGGCAAGAAGAAAAACGTCTGGGTCAGGGGGTTGTCTTTTCTATTCCTATGATCATAAATAACAGACTCTTCCTAGGGCATGTTGGGAGGCCTGACATCACTAGCAATTCTTTTACTCTGAGAAGATCTTGTAAGAACAATAGAGATCTTAAGTAACCCTCCTATTTCATTCAGTTTGCAATTCTGACACAAACTGCTCTGGGTTTGGCCTTTTCAAATCACTAAGGGCAGTTAACTCAGGATTTAAAGAGTGCATGGTTTTGGGGGGGGGGATCCTCTCGTCTTACTAGGCTATGTTTGAAATTTCCACAAATTTGGTTAATCACTTGGAGGTAAGTGATCAGATGTATCAGTCTTATCTGGGCCAGGTTTATCTCATTCTTACCCCCTGGGAAGGATCATGAACAGATGGTTTAAACAGTGGTCTCTATAGTTTTTTGATTATGCATCCCGAACATAAAAAAATATATATATTGTAGGGTGGTCAACAGTCCTGGTTTGCCTGGGACTGAGGAGTTTTCCAGGACATAGAAAAGCACACTAAACACAATAACAGGGCATTCCCTAACAAATCCAGAAGCTGGTGACCCTATACGTGAATCAAAAGTATACATGTGTCATTTAATTACATGTATTATGTGTACTTTTCATAGAGCAATATATATTTTAAATACACAAAAATTGAACCTGAAAGAGGTGACATAATAATAAATTTTAAAAAATAAGTGCTAAAGAGAGGTTTATGCCAGGAAGATGGTAAGAATCAACTGCTGCTGTTTGTTTGTACTTGTGTCTTTGCAACTATAATTAATCTGCAATTTCCTGTCAGCAAGACATATGATCATTTTGTAATGGTTGCCTTAGTCAAAACCAGGTAATATATTCTGGAATTAAATCTATGCAGGTTCATACATGGCAGCAAAAGAAAAAAACAAATCCCATAATCATCACTCCCTGTACAATTCCCATTTTTCCTCAGGAAAGCCAAATACCACTTGCCAATGCTCTGTCA